GGCCCGCCGCCTGCCGCCTGCCCGCCTGCCCGCCTGCCCGCTTGCGCTGGGCCCCCGCACGAGCCCGCCCACGTTTGACCCAACGGCTGGTCCCCGCGCCTGCCCATCTGTCCGCCCGCGTCGGTATATCAGGCCGCCGCTGCTCCTGGCCTTCCTTCCCGACACCACTTCCACCCTCAACTACTCAATCCAACGCCACCGACTCTCTTCCGCGTCGCACACCTTCACCCCAGCCCCTCCCTCACCCTCGCAACATCCGCATCCGCACCATGTCCGCCCCCCAGCAAAAGTGGAAGATCGCCTTTGGCTGCGACGAGGCCGGCGTCGAGTACAAGAACGCGATCCTCAAGGACTTCCAGGCCGACCCGCGCGTCGAGAGCGTCGTCGACGTCGGCGTCCCCTCCAACGCCGACAAGACGGCCTACCCGCACGTCGCCGTCACCGCCGCGCGCAAGGTGGCCTCGGGCGAGGTCGACCGCGCCCTCCTCATCTGCGGCACCGGCCTCGGCGTCGCCATCTCGGCCAACAAGGTCAACGGCGTCCGCGCCGTCACCGCCCACGACTCGTACTCGGTCGAGCGCTCCGTCCTCTCCAACGACGCACAGGTCCTCTGCATGGGCCAGCGCGTCGTCGGCCTCGAGCTCGCCCGCAAGCTCGCAAAGGAGTGGCTCGGCTACAAGTTTGACCCCTCGAGCGCATCGGCGCCAAAGGTCCAGGCCATTTCCTCGTACGAGGGCGCCTCGTCCCAGTAGGCGGACCAGCCCCGAGAGCAGCAGCAGCAGCAGTAGGGGGTGAGTTTAGAGAGTCAGTATGCCCCCCCGCCTCACCCTCTCAGCCGGCTCTGACGTCTTTTCCGCACGCCGCCCTGCCATGCCATCGTCCAACGCAGACCCCGCCCGCTCGCTGTCGTCCCAGTCACTCCTTGCACCCGTCGCTCGAGAAATAGAAAGCGAGTGAAGCCTTGCCTTGCCCTGTCGTGCTGAGAGTGGCGCCGCGTGTGCATCGCGAGCGTGAATGCATCCTGTCCTGCTCTGTTGCAGAAAAACCTCGCCGGCGGCAAAAGAGAAATGCATTGACGGGGACTCGAACCCCGGTCGAGTCGAATCGGTTAACCGTCGGAACAAACTGACGATGAGGCTGGCAACGACTCATGATACCCCTACACTATCAATGCGCTTATGACATCGACGGCAGAAAAAGTGCTCTATGTAAGAGAAGACAACAGACGGATGGCCGCAGCCGGTGTCTGTCGACCACCTTGCTACTCGTCCGACCAAGCATCGACACCGAGTTTTCCTTGCCTGCTTGCACAGCGAACGGGGAGGCTCACGGGGCTGTCCGAACAGCCTTGGGGTCGGGCTTCTTCCAGCGGCGTTAAGAAGGACGGCCAGGCCTGGACGAGACGCACAGACCATGGGAAAAAAGGGACGGCGAGCGAGCCAACGTCGCTTGCTTCTCCACACGCAACCCCTGCCTGCTGCCGGGCCCGCCCTTGCTTCGTGATCGGCCGGCCGGATGACGAAGGCGGGCGAGCGGGCAGGCCGGCTGGCGAAGCAGCGGGAAAAAGGTGGTCAGGCGCGCACGCACCACAGCCCGACTCCAGCCTGTCCTGGTCTGGCCCCGGCAGCTCGGACCAGCCTCCTCCCCGCCCAGCCCCCCGCGCTAGCATCACTCTCTCTCTCTCGTTTCTGAAAGCAGGCAGGCTAAGCCCACAAGGCCACGCTCCCGGGCAGGCGGGCGAGCGAGCAGGCCAGCCAGCCAGCCAGCCGGCCAGCCTGCCTCGGCCGCCATCGTATATAACCACGCTCCGGCATCTTCCATCCTCCCGACCTCCCTCCACACCGTCGCCACACACCCACGCAACGCACACGCACACCCACGCACCCGACCAACCCACTCAGCCAAACGCCACTTGACAGCCCAACCATCAACATGTCCGAGCACACCCTGCCCCAGCTCCCCTACGGCTACGAGGCCCTCGAGCCCGCCATCTCGACCGAGATCATGACCATCCACCACACAAAGCACCACCAGCTCTACGTCACCAACCTCAACAACGCCATCAAGGCCTACAACTCGGCCATCTCGTCCAACGACGTCCGCAAGCAGATTGAGCTCCAGAGCGCCATCAAGTTCAACGGCGGTGGTGAGTGGACCGGGCGGGCCCCGCAATGGCCAGCCATGGCTCGCGCCCAGAAAGGCACGCGGTTTCTGCGAGCTCGGCGATGCTGACGCGGTTTCTCCTTCTCCGCCTCTTTTCTCCTCTGACGCTCGTCTGGCCATGCACCGCCCCACGCAGGCCACATCAACCACTCGCTCTTCTGGAAGAACCTCGCCCCCACCAGCGCCGGCGGCGGACAGCTCCAGGATGGTGAGTGAACGTTGCCCTGCGGGTCGACGACGACAATGAGCGATACGGAAGGCTGACACTGCCCCCTCCACCCGCATCCTCGCCTCGCCGGCCCTCCGCCCCCACAGGACCGCTCAAGCAGGCCATTGAGCGCGACTTTGGCTCGCTCGACAACCTCAAGACGAGCTTCAACGCCACCATTGCCACCATCCAGGGCTCGGGCTGGGGCTGGCTCGGATTCAACCCCAAGAACAGCAAGCTCGAGGTCGTCACCACCAAGGACCAGGACCCCCTGATCTCGCACCACCCCATCATCGGCGTCGACGCCTGGGAGCACGCCTTCTACCTTCAGTACAAGAACGTCAAGGCCGGTGAGTTTTTGGGCCCGAGCGCACACAGACGGGGCTGTCAGGTGTGTGTGTGTGTGCTTGCATCCGGCAGTCGGCTGACCTCGATGGCATGCCGTCACTCCCCCTCGCCCTTCGCCCTTCGCCCTCTGCAGACTACTTCAAGAACATCTGGTCGGTCATCAACTTCAAGGAGGCCGAGGAGCGCTTCAAGGCCGCCCAGACCGACGCCAAGGCCCGCGTCTAAGCGTTGGCCTCGACCCGTCGGCGGCGACCCAAGCCAAGGCGAAAGTAAGAAGCAGGTGACGTCGCGAACCAAGTCGGCAGGAATGTGTATTTGAACGCCGCGCTGCGAATTCGACGACTTTGAACCGTTCATTCGGGCCCGCTTGGTCGCAGGGCCAGGCGAGACGATCGCGACGATCTGTGCAGCAGCCCCAGGAGGGTGAGTATTGTCTTCCGGGTGCCGGTGGCAGTGGACCGTCGGCGGTCAGCATGTCGCCGCCCATCTGCCGGGCTCGATCCGACGTCGAGGCCGGCGCGGCCGGCGCTACACGAGCGGGGCGGGTTCAACGTCGCGGACCTTGCGGCAGACGAAGAACTCGGGGATATACTGGTAGGTGAGCATCGACTCGAGCACGCCCGTATAGGTCATGGGCGGCAGCGTCTTTCTCTCCTGGGACATCGACACGACACGACACGCGAGGAGACGGGAAGCAAGGCACAGCCGATCCGAGGTCAGAGGGAACGGCACGAGCGGCGTTCGGGCAAGGGCGGACCGCGGTGCGCAGGACAGGACCCACCTCGATCTCGAAGCCAAGCTTGGTGCAAAGGTGCAAGACCTCGTCGAGAGTGAGCTCGATGCTGAGGTGATCCGACCCACCGCCCTCGCCGCCACCACCACCGCCACTGTTCTCAAAGTGCCACAGGAGGGGCCCGACGTTGATCCAGTATCCGCCGACGGGCAGGGCGTGGTTGATGGTCTCGAGGTAGCGGACGACGTTGCGCGCCGTGTCGATAAAGAAGCAGGTGGCGACGGCGTCCCAGGCCGCCTTTTCGTCGGGCTTGGAGTAGACTTCGCAGAACTGCGGATACCAAGAGGGAGGGAGGAGGGAAGGGCGCGAGTGCCAGTCAGCGCACGTCGCGGGCATCGTGGCGCGCCATGATGGGGGTGCGCCCGCGGCGGGGTCGACTCACTTCGCCGGCAACCATGCTAAAGTCGGACGTGGGCGGCAACTGCGAAGGGAGGACGTCGGGTACGCGTACGGGGCGGAGCATGTCGTCTGCGCTCCTCCAGTTGCTGGCCGAGTGGACAAAGGGGTAGACGACGTGCTGGCCGACGCTGGACGTCTTGTTGAGGATGTGGTGCGAGGTGAGGAGCATGTGGAAGCTGAACTCGTTTCCCTGGCAGCTGTAGCCGTGCGAGGCGAGGTCAAAGGCGAGGCGGCCGAGTCCGGAGCCGGGGACGAGGAGGTGGACGCGCCCGCGCTCGTGGCGGGGCAGGGTGGCGAAGCGCGCCTCGATGGCGTCGACGATGGGCGCATAGGCCTGCTGGCGCTCTGGGCGCCCCTCTTGGCTCCAGTCGCGCACGAGCTGCTTGAGGGTGCTCTGGATCTTTTCGACGTCGCTGCCCGAGATCTTTCGCCGCTTGCGCCGTGCGCCGAGGACGGGGCCGCCGTCTTGTCCATCGGAGCGCGGCTGCTGCTGGTGGTGGTGGTGGTGGTGGTGGTCATCTTCGTCGAGGTGGACATCGAGGTCGTCGTCGTCTCCGAGGAAGCCCTTGGAGTCCTGCACGACTTCGGCGAGGAGGTCTGCGTTTCTACGGATGCGATCGTCGATTTCGTCGAGCCTGGCCCTGAAACCCCTGCTGGCAGCCGAGGAGGAGGAGGAGGAGGAGGTGGTGGTGGCGGTGGCGGCGGTGGTGGAAGTGCCTGTGCGAGTGCGGCTGTCGTTGGCGTCGCCGTTGCCGTCGAGCTGTGGGAGCGGGAGGGGCGTGCCGATGTCGGAGAGGAGGTGCTGGTGAGCTCGGGGCAGCGAGTAGTACGACTTGCGGCGCGCATTGTTGGCGGCGAGGCAGTAGGGGAGGTAGCTGTTGGCAAACGAGTCGATGACCTTGGCAAAGTGGGCGCGCTCCTTTGCCGCAGCGTCGTCTTGGCTGCCGCCGTCAACGTCGTCGCCGTGGACGTGAGCGCCGTTTGGAGGGTGTGAGCTGTCTTCCATGATGGACGTCGGATGGGATAGGCGGTGCGGTGGTGGTAGAGGCAGCGAGGACGAGGGCGAGCGAGATAAGGGTGGGAACAGCCAGATGGACCAGGCACGCCGCTCAGCTCGCCCATGCGGGCATCGATCACCTGGTGGGGCCCACCCTGAGAGTCGCATTCAATACGGGCCGTCATCCTGGTCTCGGTCTGATGGCCGTTGGCCTCCTCCTCCCTGCCGTCGGCCTGGGCTTCTGCTCTGCCCGCTGCCCGCTGCTCGCTGGCTCCACGCTCCTCTGCCCTATGCTGGCTGCTGCTCTTGTCTGCTGCCACGCTCATCACCATCCACGACGGCACCACACGTCGCTCCCTGCCGTCGCCAGCATCGCTCCTCGACGCTCTGCTGCCTGCCTGCCTGCCTGCCTGACTCTCGTCCAAAACGCTCCTCCTTGGCTCCTTTGGGCTGACTTGGCCGCCTTTGCTCCGCCTTGCTCTCTGCCTCGCCGCGCCTGCTATTGCACGCGTCAAACTGGCCTGGCCCCTCCCCTCGACACCCTCCTCACCGCCGCCCCTCCAGGTTCAACACCACAGCAACGTCACTCACGCCCTCGCTCGCTCGCTCAGCCGCTGTGCTCATCGACTCGGCGGCCACCACCCCACCAGGACCCGCGAGTCCGTACCCGCACCACGCCAAAATAGCCCCTGCCGCGACGCCAGCCTCGCCGAGTCAGCTTGGCCACCTCATCATCCCGCAAATCCCCTTCGCCTTGCCACTCCCCCTTGCCCCCCCGCCTTGCTTGCCTTGACCCACCATCGCTCCGGCCACTCGACGCTGGACGATGTCAGAGGCCCCGTCGCACCCGCTCAACAACGACGTCCACGCGGCCCCATCGCCCTCGTCGCACTCGGCCCCTCCTTCTCCCCTCGACCATCCTCAGTCCAACACCGCCCGGCAGCACCACTTCACCCCCTCGAGCCTATGCCACGTCATCGACTCCAACGGCCTACACAGACCCGCCACCATCCTCTCGGTGCGCCACATTCCGCCACCTCAACCCGCCAGCGCCACCAAGCGCGGCGTCGTCGCACCCCTCCATGACCCTCCGCCTCCCACCACCCTCTACTACGTCCACGTCCACGGCCAAGACAAGCGGCTAGACGCCTGGGTCGACGCCGCCGACGTCAGGCCGCCCTCTGCCACCGACAATGCTACGCCGTCATCCATCGCGATCGCGACCTCCTCTGCTGCAGGCGCAGCCGCGTCGACCGCCGCCACGCCCGTCTCGGCAGCAAAGGGGAAGCGAAAGAGGGTCAAGCTCGACGATGCAGACGCATTCAGCGACGGCATCCGCTCGCCCACCGTGCGCAGCAGAGTCTCGTCCCCCTCGACGGCAGCCGGCGCCGAAGCTTCCCTTCACGCCACGGCCAGCACCAATGGACGCGCCCAGCGTCAGCGCTCAGCCTCCGACGCCGCCACCGCGGTCCGCAACATAGACAAGTGAGTGCGGGGCCGGGCTCCGTCTTCGCCGTGATCCCGCTGCACACGGACGACTGGCTGACATGCCTCGCCCTCCCTCGGCCTCCTTTTCGTCGCCGTCGCCGCGACATCCGGCAGAGTCTACTACGGCGCCTACGAGATCCGGACGTGGTACTTCAGTCCCTACCCGCTCGAAGACGACCACCCCGCCGACGACCATCATGCCGCCTCTCCGCGCACGGCCGCTGGCGGCAGCAACAGCGCCAGCTCGGCCTTGAACCGCAAAACGACAGCAGCAGCAGCAGCAGCAGCCATGGCAGCGGGCAAGTCGAACGGCATCGGTCGCATCAAGCGCGAAAAGAGCAGCCTCGGCCGCGACACGCCGCCGCGAGACCACACCGCATCCCCTCTCCACCAACCCGCACACCACCACCTCCATCGAGGCCCAGGCGGAGCGCTCGGGGGCTCGGTCAAGGACGCGCCCGCCGTGGCCGCCGTGCTCGACGCCAGCCCGTCAGAGGCGACGACGACGCGCAAGTCTCACCACGCCGCCACCGCCGGCACCAATGGCGCCAGATCCGCCAGTGCCCCGGGCGGACGCAATCTGTGGATCTGCGAGGGCTGCTTCAAGTACATGAAGAGCTACTCGGGATATGCCTTTCACAAGAAGCAGTGCACCTACTCGCACCCGCCCGGGCGCAAGGTCTACGAGCGCGGCGGCCACATCATCTGGGAGGTCGATGGCGCCGATGCCAAGGTGGGTTCTCGTGCTGCTTGCGCGATCGTGAGTGCGTGCAGACGACCCGACCTCGGACGCTGACTTGTCACCACACCATCCTGGCCGTGTCTGTGCCACCGCCCTCGCTGCTGCTGCTGCTGCTGCTGCTGCTGCTGCTGCTGCTGCCGCCGTCGCCGACGCCACCCGTAGCTCTACGCGCAGAATCTATCGCTATTCGGCAAGCTCTTCATCGACCACAAGACGCTCTACTTTGACGTGGAGCCGTTCCTGTTCTACGTGCTGACCGAGGCGCAGTCGTCGTCGTTTGACCACGCCGTCGGCTTCTTCAGCAAGGAAAAGCAGAGCTACGACGACTACAACCTGGCGTGCATCATCACCTTTCCGCCGTTCCAGCGCAAGTCGTTTGGCACGCTCATGATCGAGTTCAGCTACGCCCTCTCGGCGCGCCAGGGCATGCTGGGCACGCCCGAGCGGCCGCTCTCGGACCTCGGTCTCAAGGGATACGTGAGCTTCTGGAGTGCCGTCGTCGTCCGGACGCTTCTCATCGCCTTTGGCAACGGCGGCGGCGGTGCGGGAGGGGAAGGAACGGGAGGCGTCGATGAAGATGAGGGTGATGGGGAAGGCCGGCAGAGGTGGGCAAAGATGGACGAGAGGAGTAGGGCATGCGCCAAACTCAAGACGTTGGAGACGAGGTGCAGCCTGCTCGGCCTGCCCCGCGAGGCCATCGAGCAGGACGGCCTGGACGAGGTGCGGGAGGCGTGCAGGTCCAAGGTCGACAAGGACGAGAGGCGGGCGGCCAGGGTGGTCGCAGCGTCACCTTCTGCACCCGCATCGGCCACGGATGCAGTCGGCGCCGGCGGCGAGCGAAAGGGACTGACCATACGGCTTCGGCGTAAGATCAAGACCGACGACGCCGCCGAAGCACAGCCCGACGAGCCTCCAACGACTAGGAGGACGACGAGGAGGAGGACGAGCATCAAGGTGTCGGACAGCGAGAGCGAGGACGGAAGTGCGAGCGATGAGGATGGCGACAGCGAGGAAGACGAGTACAGCGACGAGGACAGTGACGACGATGAGGAAGAGGAGGACGAGGATGGTCAAGGAGCGGGAGAGGACGACGATCTGTACGTCGACAACGGGCAGACGTCGCGGGCGCATGGCCGTCCAACGCGGAGCAGCGATCGCAAACCAGCAGCGGCGTCAGCGGCGCATATGGCAAGACCGACCACGGCGACGGCGACAGCGGCGGGGGGCAGGACGTTGCGGGAGCGTCGTACGAGGAGGAGCGAAGGTGCCTCTGCATCGACGATGCACGGGACGCCTCAACCGCTCACCGTCTCGACCACGACCAACGCCACCTCGGCATCATCGACGAGCAGCGGCGCGGGACCCAGGGCAAAACGCTATCCCGCCCATCCGGCACTGCTGCTCTCTACCCTCGACGATTTTCCTTCCTCCTCTTCGACTTCGACTTCGACGGCGACGGCGACGACGACCATGACGGTAGAAACGACGCTGGACCTCCTCTCCAAGACGACGCACCTCCGAACCGAAGACATTGCCGTCGCACTGGCGGAATGCGGTCTCGTCTCCTGTCGTCTCCCGGCGCACCCTCCAGACGCCACTGCAGCTCCGGCTACCGACGAGGGAGGGCACAGAGGGGGAGGAGAGGACGGTCAGATGGGGATCGTCCTGACCTCAAAGGCGGTTCGGGCCGTTGCGCGCCGTAGAAAAGTCAGAGAGGCCGTCTTGGACCCGGACTGTCTTTTGATCTAGCCCCGGCCCCTCTCCCGCCCCCCGGTCGGCACGCTCGTCAGTGTCGTCGTCGAGCCGCACGACCGTCGGGGGACTCGCTTGCCCATTCGATGGTGATCGCGGTGTCAGCGAGACTCAGCGGCCGGCTTAGGCCTCAGTCGGATGACCTTGGGCAGCGACGATGGCAGCCACCTGATCGACGCCGCCGCCGCCGCAGCAAGAACAGCAGGGGACCAAACAAGCGGGAGGGCAAAGAGGAACCGTCGCTTTTCTTGTTTCGTAATCCATCGCACCGTATCCATCTCATCCCATCCCATTTCGTCTACTCGATGCTGCAGGGCATTACGACCAGGGGCTGCAGGTTCATGGTCCGGCCTCGACATCGAGGTCGCTGCCGAAGCGGGCGGCGCCACCGCTAGCGCCTCCCCGGTCGGGGAGGTCTGGCAAAGGAGCCTTTGAGTTCCTCCGTTGGCAGAACCGACGACGACGACGCCGAGCCGGCTTCTTCTGCGATCCCGTCCCCAGAAGAAAGGCCAAAGACGTGTCGTTCTTTGGCCAGCACTTCTTCCACCTCGGCCAGGATCGACGTGTGTGTCAGGTCTTGCGGGTCCGACGACTCGATCTGCTCATCATTCGATCGATCGATCGACGGGGAAGAAAAGAGGGGTTGGAAGAAGGGAAAGACGAGACGGGACGGGTCAGATCATTATCTCCGCAGGCAAACGCGACGCAAAGGGAGTGAAACAGGGGATGGCAAGCCGCAAGCCCGACCGACCTTTTTCACGACGCGCAACCCGGCCATGCCCTTGACGTGGTTGAGCGTCGAGAGGACGTTGGACGAGTACATCATGCGCGACTTGACGCTGCTGCCGGCGGGGCAGTAGTAGAGCATGACGACCTTGCTCTCGCCGCTCGCCGATCCCCCCGCCTCCTTGCCGTCCTGGAAGCGGTAGAAGGCCATGCGCGGCTCGTCCTTCCACCGTTGGACCAGGTCGGCCGGCAGCACAAACGACGGCGCCTCGTCGAGCTCGACCGTCTCGTTGGCCACGTCGATGCACAGCACCACCAGGTTCCACTCGGACGTGCCCGACGCCGTTGTCCCGAGCCCCTGCAGCGCCTCGGCGACGCCCTCGGCCCAGCGGAAGCCCACCTTGGGCCCGCCGTGGCCGCCGCCGCTGCCGCCCGGGACGCGCGACGTCGCGTGACTGACTCGATCCGCAGCCTGCGCCTTTCGCAGCTCGACTAGGTCCTGCTCGCGCTGCGTCAGGCCGCTTGCCGGGCCCGTGCCATAGCCAACCCGCGTCTCGCCCTTGGACGGCGCTGACGCTGGCGCAGACGCCGACGGAGCGCTGCCGTTGCCATTGGCGGTCTCGACGTCGTCGCGCGACTCGAGATAGGTCGATGAAGGCACCGTTGGCTGCGACAGCGGCCCTTGTCCCGGACGGCCCTCGACTTGCGTCGCGAGGCTCGGCGTCGAGGGCTGCGAAGGGTTCTTGGCTTCCGCCCGCTCCTCTTGCCGGTGGAGCTGCTCGGATGTGGGCTGGTGGCTCTCTTCGGCCTCCTGCACCGCCACGGATGCCGACACGAGCTTGGCCGAGGGGACAGTGGGCTGCGAGAGCGAGTCGGCCTGTCCCGCGGCGATCGAGGGCGTCGAGGGCTCTTCGACTGCATTCCTCTCTGCCTCGCCATCGAGATCCGCAGGCGGCATCGGCGGTGCAGGAGAAGGGGCGACAGCCGCCTCATCGTCCTGCGAGACAGCCTCCGAGGCGGCAGCGGGGGCTGCCGGGGCCTCTCCGTGCTCCTTGGCGGCCGCCTTTTCCTCGAGCCCAGGGTCCTTGAAGGCGTTGGTGAGCAGGTGCGAGTTGAAGCGTTTCGGCGCGGGCATCGCCGTTGGCTTGTCGTCGACCGGACGAGCGTCTTCTGCGACGGCGGCGCTGGGCACGCTGGCCGAGTGCTCCGGAGCAGCCGCAGGCGGCACAGCGGGAGCGGCTGCAGGCTGGCTCTCCTCGACGCCACTGCCGTCGCCGTTGCCGCTGCCAGCGGCTTCACCTTCGCCTGCGGCCCTAAGCATGTTGGCGAGGCCAGAGCGGGCGCCAAAGGTCCTCCTGGCTCCGCCGGAGCCGGTACCAGCGGCTTCTGCGGCGGACACGCCCGCCGTCTTGAGCTGCGGGTTCTGGTAGTCGTGTTTGCGGCTGTTGCGCAGCTTCGTGGGCCAGTTGAAGTCGCGCGGCGTAGAGCCAAAGATGGTGTCTAGGAAGCGGCGCTCGGTGAGGCCGGCCATGAGCGAGGCGCGGGTGAGGGCGTACTGCATCTTTTCCTTGATCTGCGGGCGGGCGAAGGAACGAGGGGGAGGCGGGAGGATCAGTACGGGTGCAGGCGGTGAGATGGCAATCGAGAGCCCAAGGATTCCGAGTGGCTGACCTTTGCGCCGTCTGGCTGATATGCGCAGCAGATCCACTCCCACTCTCCGCTGGCGGCCTGGCTGTCGAGGCGGAAGAGGGCATATCCGCTACGGTTGGGGTCGGGCGTGAAGAGTTTCTCGAGAACGGGTTCGAAGTCCTCCCGGTCGGTCGAGCTGGGCAGGAGGGTGTTTACAAGGTGGAGCGCCTTGCCGTCGTTCTGGACGAGGATGGCGCGCACCTGGCCCGCCGTCGGAAGCGATGCATCGTCAAAAGCGCGGCGGAGGCCGTCGTCGACGGGGATGTTGTTCATCTCGGCGGCGGCGGCGGTGGCAGCGAGTAGGGATGGGCGAGACAGGGCAGGGAAAGAAGCGAGGGTGTGCGTAGGAAGGGGCGCGGTCGGGCAGAGCAAGTGACGATGGAATTCGCAGCAGGGCGAGCACCTCTCGATGGCTGCGGGTATGCAAGAGGCAAGAGGTAGAGACGAAGAGGGAGAGGCGATCGCGTGGGTGCGGGAGGGTGAGAGGAGAGCTGGATCGAGGGCGATGACAGCAAGGCCCCCCGCCCATCCCCCCGCGCTCCACGGACGTCAGGGCACCGGGCCCGTGCGTGGAGCGCGACCGAGGTCTCGGCCGGCTGAAGAATGTGCACCAGCCCGCGGATTTATCTGGGCCAAGGGCCTTCAAGTTGGAATTCCTGCTGATCTGATGCTGTGGCATGGAACAAAGCCAAGCACAGCAGGATAGTAGGACTGCCCTCACTGGAGCAAAATTGTGAATTTCCACCCTTTCTGCCCAGAACCACCTCTGGCCTCTCCCTGGCACCTTGCAGAGCATACATGGACCTCCTGCATGGCTCATTCTGTAGAGCAGAGCAAGCTAAGCACTTGGATACGCATTGCAGGTGCCTTCAATACCAAGGTTGTGTAGCAGGGGCCCTTGCACAGCAGGAAGATGCTCGTCACACGGGGAAATGTCAAAAAAGAAACGTGCGTCCGGCGAGAATCGAACTCGCGTCCTCTGCTAACTTACCCTGGTCCAGCGGAACGAGTGGTAATGGAAGGCAGAGATAATAACCATTATACGACAGACGCCGCTGATGATATTTCAAGAAACAAATTGTCATTCTATACTCAAGTCACCAGTTATGGTTGTGACAAGCTTCCAGAGGACGGGTCATAGTGCGATTCTGCTGCGATCAGATGTCGATGCTTACTGTGGGGGTGCGCAGTGCGGGACCCAGACATTCGGGCCGCGTACATGGCGACAGTCGAGAGCACCTCCATTCTCTCTCCCTTAGCACATTCGTATCTGGTGTAAATCTTCGAGACCTATCACGTGATGGTCCGAGTTAGTCGACTCGTTTCTCCGGTGGAGGTGGCCTAGCGGCATGGCGTGAGATTGCAAAAATAGACGACCTTAAGATCCCGGGTTCGAGTCCCGGCCACCACTTGCTTTTTTTCCCCCTTGTCCTGCTCCGTGCCTGCGCCGGGTTCACGCCTGGGATGATGTCACGTTGGAAGGGTGCGTGTTTTTGAGAGAGCTGGGACGCGGCCTGGCCCTGGTTGTCTCACCATCCATCATCCCGCCAGCCCCTACCCATCGGTCTGCCTCTTGGACGGCAGATTGAGATTCTACGCTTTCCTACTTAGCTTGTGCGGCCACATCTACGCCGACTCTTGCTTCCCTGCGAGCGCAATCGCGCAAGGAGCCGATATCGTAACGCTGCGCACGGACTGCCACGGCCGCACCGCCTACCTCTCGCCAGTCGACCCTGAAGCGTGCTCCTTGCTGCCACCACCACCACCACCACGGCAACGACCACCACCACTCTTTGTCCACACGACCACTGGCACCGCTCCTGCTCCAACGCAACCACCGACGCCTTCTCCCTCACAATGGTAAGCAGTAGCGACCTGTCGAAGCGACGCCGGCAGACGACCGTGGAGCTGACCGCTGGCGCTGCTCTTGGACCCCCGCCTGCAGACGACCGAGGCGCGCCTGCGCATCTCGCCCACCTCGCTCGAGGAGAAGCCGCACCCGCTCTCGACGTCGCCGCACTCTCCGGACCGGCGCTCGCCGATGCCGCCGGCCGCGACGCTGTCGTTGAGCAACCCGTCGCCTCCCGCCGAGGTGGAAGCGACGCTGACCCGCCTCACTGCGCACCAGGGCGTGCTGGGCTGCCTGGTCCTCTCGCGCACCGATGGCCTCGTGATCCGCAGCGGCGGCCAGATGTTTGAGCCCAGCGGACCCGGTGCGAGGGAGCGGGCCGAGTCGCTGAAAAAGGTCGTCAGGCTCGTCAAGAACTGCGTCGGCATCACCAGCGACGAGGTCAAGAACGTCGACGGCAGCGTGAGTTCCAGGTGGTCGGCCAGCCGACCGACGTGGTTGGTGTGTACTGGCCTCGCAGAGTGGATGCTGACGATGCCGCTCCGTACCTCTCTGTCTTGGCCCTGACCGTGTCACCCGCGGCAGGACGAGCTCGGCTTCCTCCGCATCCGCACGCGCAAGTACGAGATCATGATCACGCCCAACGACAAGTACCTGCTCGTGGTGCTGCAGGTGAGTTCGGTGGAGCTCGTCTCTGTACAGCCGCACTGCGCGACCGTCACTGACCGCGTCGGGCAACCATCCCCCCTTTTGGTGGAACAGGACCCGACTGCAGGCCCGTGAAGCACTCGGTCGCCGCCTACCGAACCGTCCTGGACTCGGACACGCCCGCGCACACCCTCTGTTCCTCACGACTACGCATTGCAGACCTTCCGATAGACGCGATCGCCGAATATACCCCTTCTTTGAGCTGCACACGCCGACGAGTTGGAACGTCATGTCGCTGGCTCACGAGGCTGCGTCTGCACTTCCTCCTGCGCCTGCGCCTCCCGGATCACCTTGACCAGGTCCTCTGCCTTGAGCCTGTGCCGAAAGATTTCTGCAAGACGGCGATGGCATGGCGCACAGCGACTCGGCATTAGCGCGCGTGCTGTGAGCGGTCAAAAGGAGGGTGCAGCCAAGCCAGTGCTTCGCTGCGGCCGACTCGACTGCTGTACTCGCCTTTGTCGTCGAGGTGCAGGACGGGGATGTCGTACTGGTACTTTCGTCGCCACTTTGCGACGTCTGGCAGGGAATCGTCGCGGATGTTGTAGGTGGACAGGGCGAGGGGGACGACGTTTGCGGCCTTTTCGATTTCGATGCGCATCACGGTGCAGAGGTCGCACTGGGGACCCGTGTAGAGCGTGAGGCGTGCCTGGCCCGCTGGCGGCGGCGGCGGCGGCGGCGCGGTCGGAGTCGTGCTGCGGATCGACGAGGTGGCAAAGTAGTGGCGGGCGAGTCCGGCGAGGCGGGACAGTCGCAGCGGGCCACGGTAGGCCGACGGAGCTGACGGGCCCACGACCGACGGCGCAAGGAAAGCGGAGAGGGTGTTGAGCATCATCGTGGCTCTATCCATGCGCGGATCGGTCTGGAAGATGCTTGCTTGGAGTGCAGTTGCGTGGTTTTGTGAGCGTCGAGCCTCGTCTGGACGAAGGCCAACAAGGCAGGCGAAGCTAAGCAAGCAAGCAAGCAAGCAAGCCAGGCGGCGGGCAGAGGGCCCCGTTGATCGGTCGAGCAACGCAGGACCCTGAGGTCCCGGGCGGCGGGAGCCGTATGCGAGGAGGGGGGCTGTGGCGGGCTCCGCGCTTTGCCTGCCTGCCGCTGCCTGCCTGCCTGCCTGCCTGCCCGCCTGTTTTGCCGGTGTGTTTCGTTTCGATCGACATTGCAGCCGGCTGTGTGCGGTAAGATGCGATGCGATGCTGGGTGTAGGCCGGGAGCTGGACTGCGGTCTCGCTCGTCTCCGCTGAGCAGCGCAAGAGCGGGGTCGAGAGCGGTACGGTGCTGCCTTTGGACATCCGCCATCAACATCAAGTCGAGAATCTCAGAAGTGGCTGAGTTTTGAGAGCACGCGGGTGGGCGGAGACGCAATAGCGCTCGAAACAGGCAGGCAAGCGCGGCGAGTCGGACGCCAAGGCATCCAGGGGTAACCACTCTGAGGCAGCCCCCCAGCAAAGGCCAGGCAAGGACGGGGAGGGCCATGCATCGCCTCCGCCCTTCTTAAGATGCGGCCGACGTTCCGTTTGGCCGTATGAGGTCGTCGTCGTCGTCATTCTCGCTGCCCGGCACTAGTCTCCGCCGCTGATCCTCCCGTCGGTCCTGATGGCTCTCTACTGTAGAAGGCTGCCGTGGATGTACATACAGCAGTTACTCTTCCTCTTGGCGGATCCCTTTTGGCTCGTTCTGCCAATAGAGTCCAACGCAAGGGAACCTCGCGGGACCGCACAATCAATCATGCTCTCTGCCTTGCTCCGGGCTTCAGATGCCATTGCGCCCAAAATGGGTTTCGTCCCGTTGCTGATGCTGCTTGCTGCTGCTGCTGCTCCGCTGCCGCTGCCGCTGCAGTTTGGACGCGGGGGCGCCGCCTGAGGTGTTGTCGACAGGCCGGCCTTTCACTACTCTGCGGGCAGCTCTGTTGCTGCAAGCGACGCTTCTGCTGATCCCTCTGTCGACGCCCGCGATGGGCGGGTCACGTCGGTTTGTTTATGGCAATTTGCCTTCTTCCATCGCTGGGCACTCTACCGCCCTCGCCGACCTAGCGAGAGCAACGCAGGGCGCTGTCGGCCGCCATCCTGCCTGCCTCAGCCTCGACGAGCTGGTACGCAAGGGGCTCGACTTCGGCCGGCACCGTCGCCATCTCATAGAACAAGACAACCACGAGGTCTGGTACCGTTACCAAACGGACCATCGCACTCATCACCTCCTGGACGACGGGGAGCGAGCGCAGGCTGGGTCAGCGAAAGAGCCCGGGTGGGGGACACACACGTACTGCTGTCGGCGGAACTCCACAGGCAGACAGGTGGGACCGGGACCGCTGCGCTGCTGTTGCAAATGAAAGCTAGGTGCCGTTGTTGTACGGCCCGGCCCAAGTAGACGCCGCGGTTGCTTCCCCTTTTAGTAGCAGCCGCCCGTCCCCTCATCTGACCGCCCTATCCATTCGCCCACCTCTGATCTCCTCTCCCCCTTCCGTCCTACCTTTCTCCCTCCATCACCCTGTCATCCCGTGTCTCGTCCATTGCGGTCGGTCCCTTGTCATTCGTTCAATCATCATCCGCCCTTCCGTTGCTCCCTTCGTCAACGTCGCTTCTGCCCTCCTTCTCTCCACTCCCCTCGACTATCGCCTCTGCCCCTCTTTCTGTGCCACCAAACGATCCTTGGTCCTCTAGCTGAAGCTCAAAGGCATCCTCACACTCTCTTGCTCCGGTCTCTCTCTCTGTCCTGCGGTCCTCGACATCGTCACCGTCCACCTCACCGATACATTCTTTCCACCGCCCCGGTCTCGTCTTTGATTCCTATCCTCCTCCTCATCCATCCCTCCTCACCAACCCCGCCCAATCACCATGCGCTTCACCCTCCTCTCCGCCGCCATCGCCGCCGCCATTGGGTGCGCCACGCTGGCCCCGTCGCACGCGGCGCCCGTCGCACCGGACTCGTACAGCATCCGCGTCAAGAACCTGTACCCGGAGGACACCGTCTACGACCGCACGCGCAACCTCTTCTACCAGTCCAACCTCTGGAAAGGCCGCATCTCGGTGTGGAACCCGGCCAACTCGGACCACTACAACCTCCTCATCCCCGGCGTCTCGTCGTCGGGCGACGGCGCCCAGCAGATGGCCGGCCTCTCGATCGACACGCGCTCCAACGCCAAGCGCCTCTACGGCGTCGCAAAGGACTCGGCCGCCTTCCGCTTCGGCCCGGACCAGAGCAAGACTGGGCCCTGCTCCTTCCACGCCTTTGACCTGCCCGCCACCGCCGCCTCGACGCCCGTGTGGAGCGTCTACTTTGACGCCGTCCAGCGCCAGTTTGAGGCCAGCACGGGCACGCGCCCCTTTGGGCCCGTCGACTCGGCCCAGGACTCGCAGGGCAACTCGTACGTCGTCTTTGCCCTCGGCATCCCCGCCATCGCCAAGGTCTCGCCCGACGGCAAGAACGTAGAGGCCTGGTTCGCCGAGGCCTCCAACGGAAGCCAGCGTCCCGGCTACACGGGCGTCGCCTTTGACTCGAGGACCAACCGCCTGGTCGCCTACGGCGGTCCGCGCCCCATTACGTCGTTTGACCTCTCGCAGCCCACGGCCACGGCCACCCCCGTCGCCCTCAGCGGCGCCTCGTTTGGCTCCCTCGACGGCACCGAGAAGCTCACTTTCGTCTCGAGCGGCGGCAAGTCGATCCTTGTCGGCGCAAAGGCGCCCAGCGTCTACGCTTTCACCTCGACCGACGGCTGGAAGTCGGCCAGCGTCAAGAGCTTCACCCGCCCCGAGTTCCAGACCAACTCGCTCACCGTCGTCACCGAGGCGCGCCTCGGCGGCGTCAACGGCATCTACGGCGGCGGCGCCTACTTTGCCGAGGGCGCAAAGGGCGGCAGGATCGACAACTGGCTCTACAAGATCCCCAACTCGATCCTCGCCTAGGCCGTGGTGCGGCGGCCCCCGCCTGGGCCCTTGGGTCGATGTCGACGTCGATCTCGAACTCAACGGCTGGACGACATGGTTCGCGGCGCGCTGGAAAAGCGCAGCCCGGCCTTCCGGCTTCTCGCCTCCCTCCGGCTTCTCCAGACCTGCTCCTCGTCCCCCCCGACCTTGTCGCGACCATCTCCCTGTTCCCCCTTGCCCCCTCTCCCCGCGACAGACTGAAACCGTGGGCGACAGACAACCCCGCTCTCCTACCCACGAGCTGTACCTGCCCCCTCGCTCCGCTCCGGTCCAGTCCAGTCTTGCTCTTCCGTAGATCCGATTACAGGACAATCCGTAACTCGAAGATTGCTCGCTTTGCCGCCCTTTTGCAGCTGCTTTCTGCTTGACGGCTGGCAGTGCGACGAGATCGGAAAGGGCGCTTGCGCAGTCTGGGCGGGTCAAGGCATGTGCAAAGGGGTAGACGAGCCTCAAACTCGACCGGACTCTACAACACACTCGAATGCAAGGGACGGCAAGGGGCGGAGGGCAGGAACGGAGAGGGCAGGGAACGGAACCTGACTTGCTTGGAGAATGCTCCCGGGATGTGTATAAGAAGGATTGGCTAGCGTACAGTACAGATGCGTGCGTGCGTGTGTGAGAGAGAGAGAGAGCGCGTGTGTAGCGTGGCGTGTGTGTGTATGGGCGGGGAGGGGATGGGAGTCGGGGATGATGATGACAACAGCGACTACGACGGCCGTGGAACGCGGGATGGGTCAAGGGGACGGCGGGCAGTATGCAGAAAGGCTTTTCCCATCGTCGTCGAGCCAACCGAGGCGTGTGCCTAGGACGAGAGGCTTGGCGAGAGAGGGGGAAAGACCTGGAGTGGTGGCGGCACCCTTTGAAAGATCCGCTCGAGTATGTGCCCAAAAGAAGAGGATGGAAAGAGAGGGGAAGAGAGAGGACGGGACGGAAGGAGAAAGATGTAGAGTAGAGAAAGAGGAGAGGTAGGAGAGGAGAGGAGAGGAGAGGAAAGAGGGACAGGAGAACTGCGTTCGGTATGCGAGTATATCACCGATGGCACATGGTCGAGGTCCGGGAAAACACGGCGAGAGGCGGGAGAGGCGGGCAGGCCGAGGCATTGTGGAAGCAGGGGAGCGTAGGTGGGGAAGCACTGGGAGTCGGAGAGAGACCGGGCCCGTCAAGAGGCGGCCCGGCAGATGGTGACGGCGGTAGCGGCATGGGAGTACCGTTTCCGATGTTGCGTCGGGTTCCCGTGTCGGGCAGTGTCGTTTATCTGATAGCCCGTGACATGATGAGAAGGGGGAACGGGCGCCAGTGTGCCGTCTCGGGACGGGTCGGGACGGGTCGGTAGGTCGAGCGCCGAGCATCGAGCGTCGAGCGTCGGGGACGCGTGTGTCTTGAGAGGCTCTTTGGTGCGGATGCCGCGGCGCCAAAAAGGAGGTAAAAGGTTGCCTCGGCCGATGCAGCATCGCCGAAGAGGCGGTTCTCGAGAGAGCCGGTTGGCGGTGCCGGCAGGAAGGCGAGCCTCGACCTTGCCATCGGTGTGCGCAAAGGAACGGGGAGAAAGTGTCGTCGAGGCGAAAGGATCGGTGTCGCCGGCGGCGGGATCGGTCCAAGATATTAGAGGTCGCACGAGGCCCGCGTCGTCGCGGCTCGGCAAAGAAGGCGGGTCGCAGTCGACGGGACAGAGAGCGGTGCGCTAACGTGTATAACGCACTCTTAGGCTCCGGCGCCGTCGCTGCTACTCCTCCTCCTCTGCTATATCGTCGGCAGCCGAGGCCTTGGAGCTCCGGTCTCCGTGGCGCAGCCTACCGCCGCGGTCGTGGAGCGACGAACCGGCCTGGTCCTTGTCCCACTCCAGGAGCATCTTCATGCCGACGTCCGGCTCGAGCTCGGTGCCATCTCGAGAGACTTTGACCAAGCGGTTGTCGCGCCAGGGGTTGCGTAGCTTTCGTACGCGGTAAAACGAGAGCGGCTCTGTCTTGACCCATTCGACCTTGAACGGCTTGCCCCACGAATCCGACGACGAGGCGCGCGGTGGGTTCGACGGGTCGGACCCGCCTTGCTGCGCGCCCTTTGCATCTCCGGCTCTCGCAGACGAGCCGGCCGCGGCGGTGACGCCGGATCCATCGGAAGCGGCGTTGAGCTGATCCTCGAGCATGTTGGCCTTGCCGCGGGACTCGCGCTCGTCGAGTCGAAGGTTGTGGATCACCGCCCGCAGCGCCACCTGCTCCGCGAATCGCGACTCGGCCGACGACCAGGATGCAGAGTCGCTCGGTGCGAGGCTGACGCTCTGGTCATCGTTCGGCGCCTGCGGCGACAGGCTGCCAGCCATGTCGACCCTGCGGATGCCTTGATCGTCCGGCTCCGTCTGGCGATGCGGGAATGGGGGACGAGCGAGTGGCAGAGGCATGTCGTCGGTCGTGGCCGTACCCTTTTCCCTGCCGTGATCCGAGTGACGGTCCCCGGCGTCCGGCGCGTCCGCGACGGAAGCATCGGCAACGGTGTTCGGCTTGGTGGTCGAGGGCCACGTCTGAGACTGCGTGGGGTTCAGGGCCGTCATGTTTCTCGGCGTCAGGAGACCGTCCTCGTCGCTGCCCAGCCCGAGTCCCTTGTGCTCCTCTTCCTGCGCGGGTGTGAGGGGGAGGGGAGAGCTGATGGGGGGTGCCAGCTCCCTAGACTGTTGCTGAGGCGATGCGTGTAGGTCTCGCCTCGGGCCGAGGTCCAAATTGCCGTCAGCCGCAGAACAAATGACGGCGGGCCTGCTGACCGTGTCGATGGCGGGAGCTGGGGCGAGAGCATCAGAGGGGGCCCCGTCCTGGCTCAGCGAGGATGGCGTCGCAACCACGTCGACAGGTGTGGCGCCAGAGGACGTTGTGCTGTCCAGCCCGTTGGCGGCCTCTTTGGGATTTGGCGTGCGTGTGTGGATCGGGCCGGCCATCTTGGCGTAGCCGAAGAACTCGCCGCTCTCGTTGACGCTGAAGATCAGGTAGACGTTTTCGCTGTTCCGGAAAGCCTGGTCGAGCACGGCCTCGTTGTGAGGCTGAGTCGCCCACAAGCCTGTCTCGACGGAGCGCTCCAGGTCGTCGCGGCGCAGGCTCTTGAGGATGAAGAAGCGATTGCGGAATGCCGGGTGGCGGAACAGCGACGAAGTGGTCGAGGCGAACGAGAGGGAGCCGCTCGAGCTGTACGAGCTACTCGAGTTCTCAAGGGGCGACGCGCCGGTCCGATCCGACGCCGAGGACACGGAAGGCGGCGGTGGCGATAGCGTGGCGTTGGATGAAGGTGTTGTGTTCGCCTTGGCCCTCGCCGAATCGCTCCTATTGGACGGCGACTGCTCCTTCTGCGAGGGCGGCTGTGGCTGTAACTGTGGCTGCTGATGTGGCTGCTGTTGCTGCTGTTGCTGCTGTTGCTGCTGTTGCTGCTGCTGCTGCTGCTTCTTCTTTTTCTCGGCCTCGCGCTGTTGGTGCAGCCAGGTGACGTGGACGCCTCGACCTCGCTGTCCGAGCACGCCCGCCTGCGCTTCGTCATCCTTCTTGCGGACTCGGCAGACGAGCTTAGGGCACCTCGGGTCCTGGGGTCGCAGGGATCTGCCCTGGAAGTAGGCAGCAGCCCTTTCGAGATGCCTCGCCGTGGCGTAGTTGATAAAGGCGCAGTTGGACCGCGAGATGATAAAAACCGAGAGTACCCCGTGGGCATCGACGTTGGGGTCCAAAACAGGCTCGGGCGCTCCCAATGTCGAGCTCTCTTGCCCACCTGCGCCCGCAGCCGACTGATTCGAAGCGCGGGTAGAGTCGACGGGTTCACTGCGTGATGCGGCCGCATGCCCGTCGTCGCCGAAAAAGTCGTGGTCCGGCGGGAGTTGCGAGAAAAGGCTCCAGAGCTCCTCGACGGTTGCATCGTGGGGCACATTGCCGCACCAGAGCACAAAGTCGGAACGCGGACCCTGCTGAGGATGGTAGTGCGGCCTCAGGCCGCGCCCCGGTACCTTGGCCTCTGCCGCCACGTCCACCGCGTGCGCCTCGGCGTTGCCGACGGGTGGCACCGTCGTCGTAGCGCTATGACCGAGCATGTCCGCAGCGGCGTGAACGCCCAACGGCGCGTGCGCGGTGCCGTTCGATGAGCCGTCAGCCGAGCCGTCAGCGAGGCTGGCGGGCAGAGACGCGTTGGCAGTAGATCCGGCCGACGACGGAGGCCGAGCGGGCAGCGCTCCGGGCCCGGTGCGAGGCGAGGTGATGCCTCCGAGCAGCGGCGGCGGATGCGCATGCGGTCCAGCGTGCCTTTGCCTTTGACCTGGAGGATGGCGACCGCCCGTAGGGGCGTGGCTACTTGGGTTGGTGCCTGGATTGATGGCAGGCATCCAGGGCCCCGGTGGCCCCGCCTGAGGGTGCTGTGGTTGATGCTGCTGTTGCGGGAAATGGTTCGGCCCGCCTTGCTGCCAGCCAGGTCTACCGGCCACGTACACAGAGCCGTAGGACTGGGGCGCATAGTGCGTCGTGCCGTACGAGTAGGTGCGTCCGTACGCTGGACTACCCGACGGCACGGCGTAGGTCGAGACCGGGCCCTGCAGCACGACGGGGCCATCGTTGGGGCCGTGCGGCGGCTGGTGGAACGGCGCGGCGGAGCCGGCAGCGCCCTGCGAGTAGTAGGGGGCGTAGTGGGTATACTGGATCATCGGAGCGAGGCAGAAGCCGTCCGACAGGGACGAGTCAATCACCTCGATTCCTACCCAAGGCGGCCACAAGACTTCCGGAGGTGCACCAAAGAGGGGTAGACTTACCGGTGCGGCGTGATGGTACTGCGGCCCGTAGGCGCTGCCAGCGACCGAGGCAGACAGCTCGCCGATCGAGCTGGAGCTGAGTGAATTGCTCCGCGAGGTCTCTGGACGAGAGCTGTCGGCATCGCTGCCGCTACCGCTGCGACTTGCACCCGCGGAGTCGATCTGACCGCCGGCATTCGTGTACGTGCCAGGGGACTCGGAGTAGGTGCGCATTCCCGGTCCGTAGCTGACATGGGAAGAACTCGGGGCGCTGACGGGTGCGGCCGGATGGGCGTGCGTGTAATACTGCCCGCCGTAGGTCACAAAGGATGCCGAGGGTTGCCCCGGGAGCACGTGCTGTTGCGGCTGGTGATGCGGCTGGTGGAGGGACTGCGGGTGATGGTGGAGGAGGTGGTGAGGTGGGCGCGAGTGGTGCTGTTGCTGCTGTTGCTGCTGGTGCGGGCGTGAATGGCCAGGATGGTGGGGGTGTAGTGCCGCGGTCGGGGGGGGCTGGTAGGCCGTGGGCTGCGAGACGTACGCATATTCGGACGCCGGACCGTGCACGACGACCGGTGGGCCGGGGGTCGTCGAACGCGGGCGGACCGGGCTCGACGCCGTCAGGTCTTGGCCTGCCATTGAGTGCGGCTGACTGTGGTGCGGTGGTGGACGCATGTCGAAAGGCGGATTGGCCGGGATGTAGGATGACGGATGCGGAGGCAGAACGACAATGTGCGGAGACGAGACTTGCGAGAGTCCTGGATGCGGCGGGCGCCATGGCACAACGACGGGAGGTCGAGCGCCGTGCATGTCAGCTTGGGCCCAATCGTGATACGGCGCAACGGCATCTTGCGGCGTCGAGACGCGGCTCGGCACAGCTGGATGGGTGCTGCAGCCGGCAGCAACACGTCGGCACTTGCCCGGCCCCTTGCTATCGTGGCCAGGAAGTCGCCGCATGCGCAGGGGCTAGAAGAAACACTTACCAGGATGTTGATTGATGACGCCGCCAGGATAGTGACTGCTGTCGAGCGTGTGGGCGCTCGAGTTGGACGAGGTGCGGGTGTGTGCGCCCTCGCAGGGAAGCAACGCGCCCTTTCCTGCCGCCGACTTTGGCCTGGCACGCCCGCGATGTCGAGCGTGGCCGTGAGCGGAAGTCGAGGAGGAGGCTGCGGGGCCGTCGCCTATTGACCGCGCGGCTCGGGAATGGGAACTGGTGCGGCGGAGAGAAGGTGAACCATGAAAGTGACGCGGCGAGGTCCCGGTCGACGACGGGGGGACCTGTTGCTGGGTGCGTTTGGCGGCGGCTGGGTTTGACGACGAGGCTGCCGGATCCATCGAATTCCGATAAGGAAATCGTCCGAAGGGTGGGGTTGCGGCCTGCAAGCGACTGCTTTTGAAGGACGTTGGGACGGAGGTTGGGGCGCAGCGGGCAGAGAGGCGGTGCTGGCGAGGGGTTCCAAGGTGAGAGGATGCGAGGTGCGACGTGGTATCGATTGGATGAAGCACGGTCGATCAAGGATGGATGGTACGAGGTGTGGCTGCTGCCTGCTTGAGAATGGTCAAGGTCGGACAGAGAGGTGGGTCCGGTGGCGAGCTGGCGAGGGGCGTAATGGTGGACGCTAGCTTTGGAGAAGAGGGGCTACAGTACGGCTGATAGATGTGGGTGCCGAGAGATAGGATGGTGATGTACCAGTGGGAAGATATGGCGAGGGAAAGCGAGGGTGGGTAGCGGTAGCAAGGCGAGGCAGGTGAGCCTGGAGTCGAAGGCAGGGCGCTGGGCCGAGGGCTGCCGGGTGGATTGGATGAAGGTGTGGCAGGCGGTCAGGTCGGTATCGGTTGATACCGGTGCCGGATTGAAGTGCACGGTTTGGTGGTGACGAGGCCGGTCAGGGCAAGTTGAGGTTTGGATTAAGGCCGGGATGAGAGAGGGTGGAGCGAGGCCTAGAAGAGGCGGTAGAGGCCAGAGTGCCGGGTCGGAGAGGCGCGGAGATGAGGTTGGAGATGAAGGTGGTGACGATGACGAGGAGAGCAGGTCGATGACAGCCAGAAAGGAGGCCAGCAGTGTCGGGGACAAGAGTGTCCATAGGGAGAGGGGGAGAGGGGGAGGGAGGAGAAGAAAGGAGGTAGAAGGAAGGCGGTCGGAAGGCGGAGGGCCCGTTTGCCACAGCGCTTCTGCGGCCCCGGAGAGAGAGGGAGGGAGAGAGAGGTGGCAAACACGCGCACGGCCAGCAGGCCACGCCAGGCCACGCCAGGCCACGCCAGGCCACGCCAGGCTGCCAACGGGAAAAAAAAACCCAAAAATGCACACACAAGGTGGCGAGCGGTACGGTGTGGGTGGGTGGGTGCGTGCGTTTGTCGCTCTGTCCAGAAGCCAGGGCCAGGCCAGGCCCAGGCCAGGCGGGCGGGCCAACCGGTGAGGATGCCAGCGCTGGGCCTGCCTGCCCACTCGCAGCCCCGGTGGCGCGGGAGAGGGCGTGGGGACAGAAGCTTAGGCTAGGCAGGCGACCCGGCCAAGAACAAGGGCCGCCCCGCGTGTGGTTGCCAGGCCGCCTCTTTCTTGCTCGGGTGCTGCTTCTCTTTGGTTCTGCTCTGTTCGGACGAGAGCGCTGAAACCGTACGTGCAGTCTCGAGCAGGCGAAAACGGGCATCACGGTGCAGCCTGCCTGCCCCTGCCTGGCTGGCATCAACGGCCCGAGAAACCGGCCGCCGTTGCATCATGCTGGCCGAAAACAGAAGCCAGCGCCAGCCTGCAGCCGGGCGTGATCACAGAGAATCGGGTAGCTTCGCCATCCTGGTTCTCCCCCTGGCCACCCCCTCCGTCTCTGCCCTCGTCGGAAGGTGCCCGGTGGCGATGGCCAGCCTGCTGGTCGTCGTCGTCGCTGTCGTGGCACGAACCCGGATCCGCGCACACCGAGCCCGATGGATCCCGACAGGCAGATCCGTCGTGGCTCGATCAATCGATCGCCAGCTCGGTCACGGCGACGGGGTTCCAAAATCGCCTGCGCAAGGGTGGCGTGCGTACCGCTCCGCTCTGGGCCAGGCCGCCGTGGTAGGTACCGGTACAGCCGCGCGCCTCTCTGTTCAGCAGCAGCAGCGGTCGCCTGGTCACCGGTACGCAAACACGTACCGTACACTACAGTACCGTGCCGCACCAATTCGCATGCAGCAGCGGGCAGGCCAGCAGGCCCGCAGTCCGGGCCACGCAGAATGATGCGGATAGGAGGGAGCGAGACTGCTCGCGATTCTTGATGCTGGTTCGTCGCGGCGCAAACGAACACTCATGTATGTACAGAGGGGGAGAGGCAAATCGTACCGTCAGTCGGATCAACAGTCGGATCAACGTAGCGTAGCGGGCGGTCAAGGGCGGCATCGCAGGCCAGACTCGGCCCAAACGTCGCGCACCATCTCGGTGACATTCAGTGGCCACGAGCCTCAACGGCGGGAACCAGGTGCCCTCGCAGCTCAAACAAGACTCGCTCGCACGCACGCAGCATGAACCCATGCCAGGGCCCCAAGCTGGACCCCTGATCATATGGGCGTGGCTTGCCTGTCGAAGGCCAACCGAGCGAACCCAGCTCGTCGAAGTACCGTCGACCGTCTACATACTGCGCCGGCCGGCCTCGGTCCAACGACATCGATGGGGGCCTCGACCCCAACGCAGGGACGGGACCATGACACACATGATGGTTCTCTCGCCTTGGCGTTTCTGATGAATCAGTCGCCGACGCCAACGTGTTGCCGAGCGATGATCCCAGATAGAGCCCTGCCTGGCCTGGCCTGGTCTGGACCAAAGGAGCGCGAGAGCGGCCTCTGGTGCGCTTTTCTCCGTCGACATGGCGCCGCGCGCCATCATGTTTCGCCGCGCCGCCGTCCTGGAATTGCCCGCAGCCGCCCCAGTAACATACGTGCTCTCTCCAACCTCCTCTCCTCGTAGCCGTTCCGTTCCGAGTTCGCAAGCATGCCGGCCATCCCGGCTCGTCGTGGCCAGGACAAAGCGATCAGCGGTAGTCCCTAGTGCCAGGCACCGGTGTCGCGCGACGAAAACGAACTCTAGGTGCGGTAGGCAGGCGGCGGGATGCTGCCGCCCCTCCCTTGAACACGGTCATCCGTGGAGCCTTGTTACTCTCGGCGAGGTTCGCAAGAGCCAGAACCTGCTCGGCGATTCAACCGCCGCCTCTCTGTGCAGACGACGAAGTGTCCCGAACGGCTTGACAACAAAGCCCCAAAAGTGACCGAGGCCAGCATGCCACTTCAGTATTGGGCGGTCGATCCTACATTATATTTCAAGACGATCCATTTCGCTGCCAGGAGATAGGTACCTGTCGTCTCATAGGTCGAAACAGGTACGGTGACCATACGGTATGTATCAAGCGGGGACCACTCGTCAAGAGTCGGCTCAGTGGACGAGTCCACACCATGCTCGTCAAGGACCGGCCTCTTTCTGTACGTACAGGGCGCCTCCCCCACTCCGACCAAACGAGAAGTTTAAGATTAAGATTGCCCACCGCGGTTGGCCGTGGGGTTCTGAGAGCCTAAAAACCAGGTCCTCGGTCCAGCGACCGGCCTCTTCTCCATTGTCCGGCAGGTAGGGTGAGTCCGTCCTACAGTATGCGGTACGACGTCCCGTCCCGTGCGTCCGATGGAGTGCAGAAAGCTTACCCAACCACCTGCCATTGTCTCCCATTTCATCCCGAGGGGTGAGTGCGGTACGGTGTGTACATGTACGTACTCGTGTACATACGGAGAGGACAACAAAGAGAGAGGGAGAGACGGAACAAGCCGAGCGGGTCCAAACGCACATGGCATGCCCCTCCACGCCTCGCTCCTCGGCGACATCTTCGGCGAAAGGCGGACCGGACAGACGGACAAAAGGCCCAGACCGAGAGAATACTGTAATTTAGAACTCGTTTCGTGCTCGTCGTCGTCGTCGTCGTTGGTGGCTGCCGCGGGCTCACCATCACCTTCTTCTACCCAACCACAAGCGACCGCCGAACCGTGCCGGTAGAACCGGGTGTCGTCGTTACCCGGCTGCCGTCATCACCGTCCTCGTCGTCAAAGGAATTCGATGTTGACGGAGATGAAGACGAGCACGACTCCGCGCTCCCCCCCCCTCCCACGTCGGGTCCGAGCTTGGCGGTAGACGACTGCTGATCCACCCGGTCGGGCGGTCGAAAGCGGACGAGCATAGGGTACTGACGGCAAAGAGTCGCCTCCGGACAGAAGCACACAAGGCAAAGACGGCGATGGATGGCGAAAAAGAGCGTGCGTGTGCGTTTCATCCCTCCTTGTTTCAAACAAGGTGCAGGTGCGAGGATGGGAGAAGGGAAGGCCAGGGCAGAGAAAGATGCGAGCAGGCAGAGACGGGAAACGCGATCGAGATGGAAAGACTACAGAGTGTGCCTGCCAGACTCGAGATGCTGGCACCGCAGGGACCGGGTGCTGCAGAGTCGGCGGCTGAATGGTTGGGCGGCGGCGGCGGCGGCGAAGGAGCAGACAACAGCATCGAGAGCCGGGTGCTGAGGGCGAGTGGGTGGTCACCGTTGCTGATGCTGCTCCTTCGACGACGACCGTGCGGAGATGAAGCGAAGGCTATGCGAATGAAGCGACGAAAGGCTGGACGAGGTTGGTATGCACTCGGACGGGACGGGGCCCGACGTATAGAGGGGATGGTGGGGCGGGTTCATCGAGACGGCAAGGGGGCGGCAGTGGCTGCACTGCTTCACTCCCTCCTCTTGGTCACCTTCTCCATCCTCTTGGACGCGCCGGGAACGCCGGGGACGGGGACGGGGAGGAGCTTGGTGAGCTGCTCGGCGGCCTCCTTTGCCTGCGGGCCGGCGCCGGGCAGGACCTCAAAGGCGGGGAGGACCATGTTGCGCTTCTCGGGGCGGGCGCCGTAGAGGTTCTTGGTGAAGGCGTTGCCGGCGGCGGTGGCAGTGTGGCTCAGCTTGAGGCCCGAGTCGCGCACCGAGTCGCCCAGCCCGAGGCCGGCCTTGGTCAGCTCGTCGGTCGTCTCGTCGCGCTTGGCCGGGGCGGCGGCGGGCGCGGCAGGCAGCTTGGGCAGCTTGGGCGCCATGGCCGAGGCCTTGGACGTGGCGTCCTGGATCATCTTTGTCACTCCCGTCTTCTCAACCATCTGGGGCACGCCGGCCATGTTGCTGACCATCTGCGCCGTCTTGACGCCCATCTGGGCGGCTCCGACGTAGCCGCCGACCTTGCCGAGGGCGATGGGCGCGGCGAGCTTGACGGCCTCGGCGGGGACCTTCTGCAGGCCGCTCAGGTCCGTGTTCTTGAGGTCGGTGGCGTCGACCGAGCCCCGCTTGCGGTGGTGGTGGACGGCGTCGTGGTAAAAGGCGCGCTTGGCGAGCTTGGGCGCGGCGGGCACCTTGGACGCGTCGGCGATCCGGCTCTGGGTCTGGTCGAGGGCCTGCTTGGCCACGGCGTCGGCGCCGGCCTCGTGGGCCACCTCGGCGGCCAGCTTGTAGCCGGCGCCCGCCATCTTGAGCTGCGGGCTGACGGGCGCCAGGGCGATGGGCGTGGCCATCTTGACGGCCTGCTCGGCCGTGGGCTCGAGCGACTCGACCGAGAGGTCGTTTGTGCTAAAGTCGCGCTGCTTGAGGCCCGAGGCGAGGCTGTCCATGAGGAACTGCGGGGCCGGCTTGTTGTCGAGGTTGAGGTCGAGGCCCGTGTCGCGCTGCTGCATGCCGGCCGTCTTTTCCTGGAGCATCTTTGTGAGGTCGGCGGCGTTGGTGGGAACAATCTTGCCCAGCACCGAGAGGCCGGCCTCCTCGCGCTTGACGGGCGCGGGCGGCGCGGCGGGATGAGTGGCGGCGTCCTTGACCATCTTGGTCAGGCTGGCCGGGTCGGTGGGCAGGTCGACGTCCTCGCCGAACACGTTGAGGCCCTTGAGCAGCGTCCCCTTGGCCTGGCGCTTCATCGGGACGGCCTTGGAGAGGGTGTCGGTGAGCGTCTGTGCGTTGAGGCTGTCGGTGACGGTCTGCGGGTTGAGCGAGTCGAGGCCCTGGATGCCGTCGAGGCTGAGCGGGTTCTGCGCCTGCGCCGCCGACTGTTGGGCCAGGAGGGCCAGCGCCGCGGCCAGGACAAACTGCGACCGAATGAGCTGCATCTTTGGTGGGGGAAGGGGGCAGAGAAGTAAAGACAGACGAGGGAGCGAGTGACGGTGTCGGACCGGGCCAGGGGGGAGGGGAGGGACAGGTGGAAGGATGGGATGTTGAAGATGGGACCTCTTCGTCGGCTGGTCAAGCAGCTCGAGGTATTTATTGGGGCGACCTGGTCCATGAGGTCGACAGGCACGGCGCCGGCCTGGGACGAGCAAAACAAGGGGTCGCATCAGCGTCGCAATCGGCCCTAACCCCCCCCCCCCCCCCCCCCCTCGTTGCTCTTGCCCTGCTCTCTGTTCTGGCGTGCCTTGCTTGCGCATCACCCCTTGGGTGCTGGGCCGCCGGCAAGGGCAGGTTTGGCGCGGGAAGCAGGAGCCATGACTGCGGACGCCCCGCCAGAGGTGGAAATGCTAGGGACGCGCGTCGGGTTTTGCCGCCTCTCGACGGCGACCGGGCCGTGCTCTGTCGCGGATGGCCATGGCGGTCGGCTGTCGATGTGTGCAGCAGGAGGCGTCTCGGTAGATTTCATCTGTTGCAGACAGGGGTGACGAGAGCGTATCGAGATTGAGGGGGCACGACCAGCAAGCCAAGCCAAGGCAGGCCAAGGGCGAGATGTCTTCTGGCGCAGGATGCGAGCTGTGAGCTGGTGCGATCGACGGAGCGCAGGAGCGGCGTCGGTGGGCGAGCTTTGACGCGGGAATGTCGGCGGGGCAGGCGAGGGAGGTACTTCACCGGTGGGGCAGGTCGTTGCAGAGCGCGTAGCTCCTGGCCTGGCCTGGTCTGGCCTAGTCGGGGCCACCCTTGCTTGCCGTCGTCGAGGGCGCTTGGATGATGGCGCGGGCGAGGGCTGGAAGGAGGCGGACGACGGGAGGAGAGGCCAAGCGAGCGGGTACGGCCGTACGCCTGCTGGCCGTCACATGCCAGCAGGCGAGGCGTGCGATGCAAAGCCGGGGCCATGCCCGTGCCCGCAGCTTCGGGCGATGAGCAGACGGCGTGCTTGGTGACGCTGCTTGGTCGCCCGTCGTCGGCCGCGGCTATGCGTAGCGCTGTTCGGATGTGTATGTACGTGCGGCGTGTGGCCTGCTTGGCTACCGTAGCAGGCGGCTGCAAGCACGGCTCTATCTGATCTGCGCCTCGCCATCTGCCACGCCGTGCCATGCCAGGCCATGCCATGTATGCCGATCCCGGGGCCTGGGAGCCGACTCGAGGGTGCGTGCGCCTGTAGGATGCCGAGAATAGCAGCTGCTTGACAGCGCAGCCGAGCGTGCGCAGACGAGCGCCACGCCGCGACTCTTCTCTCTCTCTTCTCCGGCCTCGTACATACGCGGTAGCCTCGGCCCCACACCCCGGCGACTTTATGGCCAGGCCTGTGAGCGCCGATCATGTCCACGAGCGCCCTCGAAACCGTCGGCATCGTTCGGACGCGGCCTCATCATCCTCGACGCTGTTTTCGCCGTGCGGTCTTGTCGTTGAAGAGAAAGGATGAGGAAAGCGACATCGAGAGGGGGCGGTGCGGATGGGCGCACGCTGACGATTGGCTCGATGGATGGGCTGCGTCGACAGGAGAGAAGAGAGGATTATTGTGTCAGGGAGCGAGAGCAGGACAAGAGTCAAAAGATGGGCTAGGGCAAGGGGCCGCGGAACGCGAGGAGCGAGGAGCGCGGAGCGAGGAGCGAGGGTCGAGGCTCGCGCCTTGCAGGCACAGGAGAGGCCCGCCTGCCCGCTCTGGCCCCGCAGGCGGCGAGCTCAATATTCTGGCTGCGCCCCCGCAAGGCCATCCCCAGAGCACGGCTCAGCATCCACGCACGCACGCACGCACGCACGGGTACTTTTCCTTCACCCGTCCAGCACCCACCTTGATGTGCGTGTGATGAAGATCCTTCTTCTTTTCTTTGCGAAGGACTGGCAGACCATCCCGCCCACCTCTGTCACAGGCTATCTTTGTACGTGTGCATGATGCGCGAGGTCGCAGCAGGCGAGGCGAGGTCAGGCAGGTACCGCTGCTCGGGAGAAGGAGGAAAACGTGGCGAGGAGCGGTCGCCATCGTCGTCGTCGCTGTCATCGGCGGGCGGAAGCAGGTTGCTGCTGGTGGTGGTGCTGGTCGTTGTTGGCGTTGGTATAGGTGTGGGTGTTGGTGTCGGCGGGGCTGGTGTACGGTGGGGCGGGGCTGCAGGCGGTTCTCGTGCGGGAGAAAGGGGCGGCGCGGGAGGGGAGAGCGAGGGCCAAAGCGCCAGGGCGCCAGGGCGTACCAGGTGGAGGCTGAGCCGTGCTTATGTCACGCTCTGCCTGGCGAGGCGTCGAGAAGTTCTGACTTGAGCATCAGCCTCGTCCTCGGCCCCCTTTGCACCACCATCCCTCCCGCTAAGCTCAACGTCCGCCTTTGCTTCCGGGCCATCGTCCCACCTCGGCATCCACCGCGATCATGGCCTCACTACGCACAGCGCTGCGGCCATTGACCGCCGAGCTCAGCGCCGCCTTCGCAGCCCCCGCCTCCGCCTCTGCCTCGTCGTCCAGCACAATCTCCTCGACCCGCCACGCCTACGCCTGCCAGCGTCCCCTCACCACCGCTGCCGGCCGCACCGTCTCTCACACGCCGCCGCAGCCATTGCCATCGTCTTTGCCAGCTTCCCGCCGGCCCTTTTCCTCGTCCCGCCCGTCGAGGAACTCGGACACGTACCAAGACACGCCCTCGGGCTACTCGAAGCCGCAGTCGTCCAAGTCCAGCAGACCCTGGTACCGCTCCCCCACCACCCTCGTCCTCGGCTTCATCCCGATATTCACATTCGGCCTCGGATACTGGCAGATCAAGCGGCTCAAGTGGAAGGTCAACCTCATCGAGGAGCTCGAGGACAAGCTGAGAAAGGAACCCCTCCACCTACCGCGCAACATCAAGTGAGTGCCCACCCGTCTTGGCTTGCGTTGTCGATGTCGCATCGCCGAATCGTTTGCTTGACTGCTCCCCTTGCGCCGCTATCCATGCTCCCGTCAGCCTCGATGTGCTTCCCGAATTCGACTTCCGCCTAGTCACGCTTCGCGGCACCTTTGACCACTCCCGGACAATGTTCCTCGGCCCGCGGGTGCGCGACGGTGTCCTCGGCTTCCACGTCGTCTGCCCCATGGCCCGCGCAGAGGGCGGCGGCATGGTGCTCGTCAACCGCGGCTTCGTCTCGGAGAAGAACATCATCGGTACCGGCGCGGACCGCAGGCTGAAGGACGAGGCCATGGTGAGTCCGCTCGCACGCCCGCCCTGTGCGGACCCGTCCTCCTGTACTCGCTACTGACGCCGTCCGTCTTGTCTGTCCGTTGATCCGCCCATCCGTCCGTCCGCCTCCATCGCCGCCCCCGCCCCAGCCTCGAGGCGAGGTCGAGTTTGTCGCGCTGCTGCCGCGCATCTATCCGCCCAACACGTTTACGCCCGCCAGCGATCCAAAGACCAACTCGTGGTACCACGCCGATCCAAAGGAGATGGCAGAATGGGCGTCGGCGCAGGTTGGTGCGTCCGCGCTGTCGCTCGAGTCCAAGCAGCGCAACGATGCGCTGGAGGACCACCATACGCCGAGCGCCGGCGTGGCCGAGAGCGTCAAGGGCATGCTCGGTGTCGGCGGCTCGTCGTCGCGAGAGTCGCAGAGGGTGCTGCCCGTCTTGCTCGAAGAGGTGTTTGGTGAGTCGCGGCATTGCGTGGAGCGCTCAAGTGGTAGCCAGACATAAACTGCTCACCTCGATGCGCTCGTCCAATATTTTCTCTGATAACCTTGGCCTGGCCGGCTGTGATAGACGGCAATGTGGGAGAGGCGTCTGCGAGAGTGGCGCAGGGCGTCCCCGTCGGACGGGCAGCGACGATTGAGCTGCGCAACCAGCATGCCGTCTACGCCGCAACATGGTGAGTAGCGTGGCCGCCCGTCTCTTGCGGTCGGCGCTGGAGGTGCCGATGGGAACGAGTCAGACACGAGCTGACCCAACTCCGAGGTCCGGTCGCGGGTCGACCTCTGCGCAACAGGTTCTCGCTGTCGGCGTGCACGGCCGTCATGTTTGGACTGCTGGTCCGAAGGGGTCGCTGAGGTGTCTGTCGATCGATCGCTGTGGCGAGCGCGCCGCCTCGTCGCAATGTCAAGCGTTGGTTGGTGGTATGGCAGCCATGGTCGGTCCCGTGCGCCGATCCGAACAGCCTCGCCGTTGGTCCGTGCCGCGGTTGTGGTGTTGGCTCCCGACGATGCTCGGGAGAACAATCAGCGGGCGTGGTAGGATCAGGGAAAGAGGATCTGCGGTCGGTATAGACTGTACTGGCAGATTGACGTGGTGGTGCCAGCACCGGTTGCCGTAGGACGACGCCAGCTGGGCAGTCGCAGCAGCGTGGGCCGTGCTATTTGCTCGCTGGCCCCGTCTGCGGAAGCTGAGCATGGAGGGGAGCGTGGTAGTGCAGTGCAGCGCCACCCGCACCGCCATCGTGTAGCACACCACGCACAGCGCTGCCGAGCACAGCATGGCCTAGGCAGGCAGGGGTAAGGCAGCACAGCCCTGCCTGATTCCAAGCCATCGAATCGGGCCGAAAGTCGGTGGGTGGCTTCCACCGCAGCCGGGTCGATCCGACCCCGCCACTTGCCCAGCGATGGCGTCGAGATTGACGATGTCGATGCAGCAGCCGCAGTCGTAGCAGCAGGTCGTGGAAGCACGTTCCAAGAGTGGCATTCCATCAACTACCTTGCTAGGCGGCGCAGGCCGTCGGAGATCGTGTTGTTTGGTGCGGAGGTGCAAGCGCGTTCACCGTACACAGCGAGCGAGCGAGCCTTCGCCGCCCCGCTCCGCTCCGCTGAGCAGCGGAGGGATGACGTCAGTGTCAGGTCACGTCAGTCCGGCGATGTTATGGGAGGCATGGCATGGCACGGCACGGCATGGCATGGCATGTCGCATTCTTCCTCCATCCAGAGCCATCCTCGTTATGCCCTTCTCCATCCTCGCCCCATCAGCGCACCGCCTGGCAAAGAGGAAGCTGCAACCACGCGAAATGAGGCGGAACGAAGCGAGGGCAGGGAGGGAAGCGATGCAAGATGCGCCAAGCCCAGATAGATGTACACGCCGCCCGGCTCGGCCTGGCCTGGCCTGCCGCGCCTGGCCCGACGCACCCAACGGCATTTCGGGTCGGCCCGACACCCTACCCTTAGCTTGGTTAGCTTCCCAGATGCGGTGCGGCGAGACCAGCCACCGTTGCTGCAACTTCCGTCGGCCTAACGGAACTAACACCGCCATCGACGCATCAGCAGCATCGACCTGATCGGCCTGCCTCTTTCCCTGACGACAGGCGAATGGTGCCGGAGTCGAGTAAGTGGCTTCGTCTTCCGCTCCGCCGCATTGCAAGACGCTCGAAGGGCGCGCACGTCACGCTCTCTTGCTCGCTCTCTTGCTCGCTCGCTCGCTCTGTCTGCCGCCGCCGCCGCCTCGGATGATACCGATTGCCACTCTGCGCTACCGGTATGCGTGCCCTGCCAAGCTTCGAGAACCAGCCGAAACAGAGTTTTAGACGTGGAAGGAGGTAGGGAGCCCCAGCTCGAACCCTCGCGGGTCGCGCCTCGAGCCGCCCAGAGAGGCTCGCCTCGCCTCGCCTAGCCTGGCCAACCGTACCGAGGCGGTGCAGGCATCTTCTACGGTGACCACCTGACGTCGCCCTGCCTGGCCCCTGCCCTGCCATGGCCTACTAAAGAGAGAGGGTTCCGGCCCGGTCCTCTTGGCATCCAGTCCCCCCCTGCTATCCATCTTCGACACCTCGTCCTCGTCCTCGCTCTCACCTCTTTCGACCTGGCCACACACCCCACACTATTACGCCACGATGAAGTTCGCAAAGGCTACCCTGGTCGCTCAGGCCGTTGTCCTCGTTGCCCTCACCAACCCGGCCAACGGACAGTGTGAGTGCATATGGGCCGAGGCCGAGGAGGAGCCATCCATCCCGCGGTGCAGGTCGGGGAGCAGCCTCCCCGGAGCTCGACGAGCTGGCACACGATGTCGAGATTTCTTCCGCTAGATGTAGGCAGGGTGGAACGACGATCCGAACAGCTGCTGATCCAGTCTCGTATCACCCCCTTTCGCACCCCAACGCAGTCCTCAGCGATGTGACGAGCGTGTTCGGAGACATTACCAGCGGAGCAGCCAGTATGTACAGCCGCCAGGTGGATTCATCCGCCTTCACATGGCGACAACGACAGACAGACCCGCTGACCTCGCTCTCCAACCACACACACACACCCTCATTTCAACCTCGCACCAACGCAACGCAACGCAACGCAACGCAACGCAACGCAACGCAACGCAACGCAACGCAACGCAACGCAACGCAACGCAACGCAACGCAACGCAACCACAGGCGTCGGCACCGTCGTCGCCTCGGGAGCCACCTCGGTGTTTGGGGATGCCACCTCGGGCGCGGCAGGAGCGTTTACGACGGCCACGTCGGCCGTCGGCGGCGCCTTTTCCACGGCCACCTCGGGAGCGGCCGGCGCGGCGTCGACCGTGACTTCGGGCGCCGGCGGTGCCCTTTCCACGGCCACGTCCGGTGCCGGCGGTGCCGTTTCCTCGGCCACCTCGGGCGCCGCTGGGGCCGCCTCGAGCGTCTCGTCGGCCGCCAACCCCAACGCCGCCGTCAGCATCGGAAACGGCGCCTACACCGCCCTCTGGACCGCTGGCGCCGCCGTCTTCGGTACCGCCGTCGCCGGTCTCGTCATTCTCTAGACACGCCCGTCTCTCCCTCCCCCACGTCTCTGGTCCACTACGATCGATACCAAGGTCGACCCTCCCGCACTCGTACGACCTCTTCTTGGACGGAAATTGCATGCACACGCTCCCATGAACTGCTGTTTCCATCCGTCTGTCTGTCTGTCTGTCTGTCTATGCCCAGTGGCGGCGGCAGCGGCGTCTAGAGAGTCTTGGTCTTCTTGGCGGCGTCTAGAGAGTCTTGGTCTTCTTCTTGTTGTCGTCGCCCTCCTTCTTGGCGGTGCCGGCGCCGGCGAGCGAGTAACCGACGGTGCCGACGAGGACGGTGGTGGCGCCGATCCAGAGGCCTGGGTTGGCGTTGCCGCGGCCGATGAGCATGACTGAGATAAAGAGGCTGAGGGCCTTGCGCACGACGAGGACGAGGGTGACGGTGAGGGAGCTGACTTTGGACGTGAGCTTGTTGACGCCGTTGATGCAGAGCAGCTGGGTGAGGACATTGAGCAGCAGCGGCAGGTAGAAGGACGGGATCCACAGGCCCGCTCCCGGCCCCGGTCCGCGCGCCGTCTTGAAGGGTATCAGGGTGGACAGGTCAAAGCTGCGTGGCTTCAGCGACGACGACGACGACGAGGGCGAGAGGAAGCGTCCGAGTCGCGCCGAAGCCGTCGCCGAAGAGGGTGCGGGACCGAGGCCGATCCACCACGACGGCGTCTGGTTGGCCAGGCGCACCTCGCGGGCGAGCTTGTCGCGGCGCAGCAGGAAGATGGGCAGGCTGAGGAGGTGCGAGTAGAAGAGCGACTCGCGCCAGTTTGAGGTGCCGTAGACGCGGAACGTCTTTTCCTGCCACAGGCCCATGAGGCCCGTCAGGATGAGGGCGAGGAGCAGCAGCAGCACGCCCTGCACGTAGCTGCCCGCCTCGGCTGCATCGCCGCTAGAGGAGGGCGAGGCCGGCGACGACGACGACGACGACGACGACGACGACGAGTAGAGGGTGGATGAAATGACTCCGGCCGTGACCAGCAGGACCGAAGCGACTTGGAGTGGCGTGTACCTGCAGGCGGTGCGAGAGGAAGCGGGGTGGGGGGGATTCAGTCAAGCTAGCTCGTGGTGCCGACACCGACAACGACGCCGTTCCGGCTCACCGCCTCTTTTGGACCAGGTAACCGAGGATCATGTTGATGACGAGGCCGCCGCTGCGAAAGACGATGTGGACGGGCATGGGGATGTTGCAGGCGAACGCCATGTTGTTGAGGAGCGACGTGGAAAAGTAGAGGGCCACCTGTACGATCCAGCGGGGCAGGGGCACGGCGCGCGGGCGGAGGCGGGGCCACCACGAGCCGGGCGGGACGTGTAGGTGGCGCGGGAGGCAGAAGAGGGTGGTGGTGGCGAACTGGGCAAAGGTGATGAGTGTGCCGCTCTGGGGCAGCTGGTTGGTCGACAGCTCGAGCGCCCAGGCGTTGCTGTGCGGTGAGCAAGGGCGAGCGGGGTGTGAGGGAAGGTCGCAAGTGTCAGTGTCGGCAAGTCGGACGGTCGGTCGAGCTGGCGGCGATGGCGATGGCGATGGCGATGGCGGGGCGCTGCGATGCACACTGACCTGCAGCATCCGCCAAAGATGAGAGAGAGGATCATGATCCATTCGGAAGCGGTGGTCTGCACGACGGCGCCGACGATAGCGTTGCGGGCGAGCTTGTTGCTGTCCTCTTGGGTCCTCGAGGACGGCAACGGCGAGGCGTGTCCATTTGCATTTGCGGGAGGGCGAGGAAGGCGTGGAGCGGGGGGCGGCGGTGCGTGCGTCTGACGCGACCGTGGTATTGTTGAGCGGCCCGCCATGGTCGAGCGCGCCGGGAGGGGTGAGAGGGAGCGGCAGAGGGAGAGGCTGAAGGTGAAGGTGAGGGAGAGGGAGAGGATGAGGGAGAGGGTCGAGGGACAAGGAGAGGCGCGAAGAAGGTCGCAGCTGCGTCTGAGCGTCGCCCCGGCGCGGGTGCACACGACCAAAGAGCAACAAGCGAGCAGGCGCCTCGCCCCCATTCCCCCACACCGAAATTGTGGAGACGCCGAGCTTGGCCGCTGCTTCTTCTTCGCTCGCAACCAACACCACCACCACCGCCCACCGCCCACCGCCCACCGCCCGGGATGGCATCGACGAGCAGCACCGCCTACCTGCTGCCCCTGCCCGACATCCACCCTGCACGCGATACAGGAAGCAAGATCCGCACCGTCGGACACGTCGTCGCCCTCTACGGCCGCAGCCACACCCACAGCCACAGCCACAGTGACGACCCCAACGAGGGCGCGACGGAAGCGATCCTGACCTACGGCGGCGCCTCTTTACGCGTCGACCTCTCGCTCTGCATCGACGGGGCGGGGGATGGCGATCAACGAGGTGGATGGCGCAACTACCGGCAACAGCAGCAGCAGCAGCGGCATGCTGCATCCTCGGGCGGGGGGAGGGTGTACCCGCCCAATCTAAAGGCAAGAGTCATGTGCATCGGCTACCTTGAACAGGCACCGGTGAGTGTCGCCCTCGTCGTCGTTGGTCGTCGCTTGTTCTTCTTGCTCATCCCCCGCTTGTCCTCCCGGATATCGCGACATGGCACATGGAAACGACGATCAAGTCCACGACGGTCGAGCAGCCCTCTCGAGACTGGGAGGATACGGCGCACCTGGCGCAGCGCGCACCCGCACCGCACCCGGACCACGTGCTGCGTGCGCTCCTCATCCGGGAACTCGAACACGACTTCGACATCGACCTCTGGGCACACGCTGCCCGGTTGCGCTCGCAGTTTGAGTGGAAGCGCTCCACCACCGCCAGCATCAGCGTCAGCGTCGACGCGGTGAAGCAGCAGCAGCAGCAGCAGCAGCCGTTGAGTCGCGACCCTCGACTCGGCTCCACAGAGGCCGTCGAGCGCCAACCCGGTCAGATTCCAGGGCACAAGGAGACCGTCGAAGTCATCGAACTCTCCGATTGACCCAAGGTCCGGTCCTCTTCCTCCATCGAGCGACCTGCAGAGCATAACGACACCCGCACCTCTCTCCACCCCACACGATACCCATACACATTCGCACACGCAGCCTGTCCGTCATCGCCATCAGCAGCGACACCAGCATCGACAGCAACAGAAGCGTCAATGAGCATTACCGCTCGCCGTCACTTTTTGCCCTTGACGCCGCTCTCGGCATAGATGCGCCGCACAAAGCGCTTCCACAGCTTCTTGTCCACCACCAGCCGCCGCGCCAGGTCCATCATGCTATCCACCGTGATGGCCGGTAGCGAGTAGTCGGTAAACTTGCGCAGCGCCTTGGGCGGCTTCCACTTTCGCACCCGCGTCAGGGATCCACCCGCGTCGCCTGCGCCCTCGCCCTCGTCGACGTCGTCGTCTTCTTGCCCTTCTGTCGACGTTGCTAGCGCCGACGGGTGCACGCCGAGACGGTCCAGCTCCAACTCGAGCAGGTGTCGAGGAACCGGGACCGGACCCAGCTCTGACCCGGCACCCGCGCCGCCGCCGCCGCCGCCGCCGCGTGGCCGCACGATTTCCTGCCACAGCGTCGAGGGCGTGTAGGTCGTGTACTCGAGGCGGAAGTCGACCTCGACCTTTTCCGCCTCGTGCCGGCGTCGTCGTCGTTGCCGCCGCCGCTCCTCCTCGTCCTCGTGACCGTCGTGTTTGCCTCCGCCACCGCTGCCGCCCTTGAGCGGCTGCACCGTCGACGTCGAGTTGGCGGTGCCGTCGAGGATCCGCTCGACGTGCTCGTTCTGCTCGTCGATGTCCATGACCCACTGGCTGTAGCCCAGCAGGCTGAGGTACGTGTTGCGCCGCGACGGAGAGTCGGGCGACACGTGCCGCGGCCGCTCCTTGCCGTGGCGCTTCTTCTTCTTCTTTTTGCCGTGCTTCTTCTTGTGCTTGCCGTCCCTGTCCGGCAGTGGCCGGTGGTGCCGCCGCGAGGCGATGTCGATGCCGTCGTCGTCCTCCTCGTCCTCCTCGTCCTCGTCGTCCTCCCCCTCGGCGCCAGTCTGGACATCGCCGTCCTCGGCCGCGTCGATACGCGCCGCATCAGCGACGCTACCGTCGTACCGCTCCGCCTCGGTCGTGTTGTACGTCCACACCCGGAACGAAGGGTAGTAGGTGGGGATGATACTAGGCGCGGTGAAAAAGAACGAGTAGTAGTCGTCGTTGGTCCTCGCCTTGCCCGGCAGCGACGAGTAGTCCTGGCGCAGGTCGGCCGGCAATCCATCGTCGCCCATGATCGTCGCACCGCCGTCGTCGTCGCCGTCGTCGCCCATGATCGTCGCATCGCCGTCGTCGTCGTCGTCAATGATGCCGCCGCTAGCAAGAGAAGACGGGGCGACGGCGTCGCCCATGCCCGTCTCTTCCGCCTCCGCCGCGCCGGCCGCGTACAGAGCCTCCTGGTCCTCCTGGACAAAGAATGCGTCGGTGTTCATGTGGCCAAAGTGCTGGCCGACGACCGTGTCCTGGTATCGCAGCACAATGTCGGTGTAGCGGCGGTAGCAGCGCGGAAAGTAGTTGCCCGCCGTGGGGGGCACGTGGCCGAGGATGTGGGCCTGCATCTTTCGGCGGCGGAGCAGGTCGAGCTGCACCTCGAGCCAGTCGAGCTGGGCGGTGCCCGGATCGACGTCGCTATCGCCGCCCCCGCCGCCGCCGCCGCCGCCGCGACCATGGCGACCTCGGTTGGTCTTTGCGCAGCCGTCGACTGCCTTGTTGCTGTCGTAAAAGTAGAGGGTGTTCAGGCTCATGGCGGCGAGGCGGTTGGGGAGGAGCTCCTTGACATAGTAGCCGCCCTGCTCGAATGTGTGGAACTCGTACTCGGGGATGTGGTCGGCCCAGATGCGCACAAACTCCTTTGTTATCCGGTTGGGACCGGGGAAGAGGATGTTGTGCGGGAAGATGTCGTTGTTGCCCAGCGAGGGGACGACGGGCACGCCGGGAAAGGCCGACTGGATCTGGTCGAGCGTCCAGCGGTTGAGGTCAAAGATTTCCGCCAGGGTGCGCGGCACCTTGTCGTCGATGTCGTGGCGCGCCGAGTCGCCGGTCCAGAGGATGAAGTCGAATCCTTGGCCGGCGGTACTGCCGTTGCCGCGCGGGGGCCCGTCGTCGATGGAGGAGGTGGACCCCGCCTGTGGATGCGCGGGCAGCCAGTTTTGCGAGATCCACTTGAGCGACGAGGTGACGAGCCGGGGGGGCGAGTCGCAGTCGCTGACGCCGGTGCCCCACCAGCCTGCGCGCCACCTGCCGTCCTTTTTCTTCTTTTTCGGCTTGTTGTGGTGGCAGCCGGAGCTGACCGCGGATCCGTGCTTGTAGAACGTGTCCGGGTGCAGGTCGGTGATGTGCAGGAAGCGGCCGTACGGCGACGGCGATGACGACGACGACGACGACAGTGCAGGGGCAGATGGTGGGTCTGGGGGCTGCTGCCATGGTACCTGACTCGCTGCGAAGGTGGCTGGCAGCGGCGCCAGCAGCAGGAGCAGCACCGCCGCTGCCGCTGTCGCCGTCGCCGTTGTTGTCGTGGCCGGCGCGACCATGGCCGAGTGTGGGTCGATCTGTCGATGGCAGTGGTGGCTGTTACGCTTGCATTCCGCGAGAGGATGAGATCCGAGCTGGCGATGAGTAATGGTGGCTGGTGATGGCAACGGCGGAGATGGTGGAGGTGGTCGTCGTCGTCGTCGTGGTCGTCGTCGTCGCCGTTGACCTTGTGGATGGCGTCTTGCCGTGCTTGGCGCAAAGGCCTGTCCTCTGTGCCCGGCCGCCGATGTGGAGAGCACGTGTGGGCCCGCGGGAGGCAGCCAATCGACATCGCAACCGCAACTTCGCCGGTCAGCGAAAGACCGTCATCGGACAGCCAGGCCAGGCCAGGTCAGATCGAGAGAGAGGCTCGCTCCGCCGATCCGCTGGCATCGGGTCAGCCCGATGCAGCCGCATCGTCGCCGCGCCCCCTGTGCTCATCTGGCACCTGGTAGACTGATCCCTCGAGCTGCCCGGAGCCTCCCTGTCGCCCTCGAGGCACTCGGACAAGCAGCCGCAGCCAGCGTCAACATCAAGGTCGGAAACGACAACGGTCGCGGAGCAGGAACAGCTCATCACCTGGTAGCGAGAGCTAGGGCCGCGGTGGTCAATTTTCGTCGCAATTTTCGGTCGACTTTTTTCCCAACATGAGCGCTGCCCTGTGGTGGTTGAAGCGTAGAAGGTTACGGACGGCCGATATTAAAGGGAGTGTAGCACGGCGGCTCTCTCGCACCTGTACCAACCCTAGATCAGATCCTCATTGGCATGGCTGCGTCGACCGTGACCAGGCACGTCAAAGAGCCACACGTACGCGCTCACGCCTGCCTGCCTGCCTGCCTGCCAGGACTGCCAGAGGTCCGGCCTACTGCGACGCGCGTTCCGTTCCCCTCGTCTCTCTGCCGGCCAAGAAGAGGACGACGACGCCGGGCCCGACGATGAAGCAGACGAAAGAAAGAAAAAAAGTCAGGCAGAGACTCTGGCGGAGGGCAGAAATCCAAGCATCCCTGGAGGCAGCAAGGCGGGCGGGCGGACGGGTGGCTTGGCAGGCAACGCGCCGTGCATGCATAAAGCAAGCAAGCAAGCAAGCAAGCAAGCAAGCAAGCAAGCAAGCAAGCAAGCAAGCAAGCAACCAAGCAACCAGGCCAGGCAAAGGTCGAGGCGAGCGGGAGGCGGAGCGACCAGAAGCCGAGCGGAGGAGCGGTGGCCAGGGACCGGGGCAGGGCGAGGGCGAAGCGCTGGCCGAGCAACGGGAAGGCGGGCGAGGAAAAGGCCAACGTCCGACATGCGAGGACCCTTCTTGGGTCGATCTGAGCGTGGCCCTGGATCGCTGTGTGTATGCAGGCATCCGCCCGCCGCCCGCTCGCCAAGCCGTCGGGAGGGCGTCGAGAAACCATCAACCTCGGTCGGTCGGGATCCGCGGCGGCGTACCCGTCCTCGGTGCAGCCGCCACAGGTCAGGGAGAGGCAGCAAGGTTGGCCATCAGCATCGCGAGGGCGTCGTTCGAGCTACTCACGGTGGCTGGCATCGACGACGCCGTGCAACCCCAGCGGAAGGGGAGTCGGCGGGCGAGGTTTTGCCGCTGTCTCCGTAGTCGTATATTGGTCAACGGCCGTCGTCGCGCGGCAACCGCGTACATAGAGTCCATATGTGAGGCGACGAGATGCGACGACGCCCGCCCGTCTGCCTACAGAGTATGTACTGTATCCTGCCTGCCTGCAGCCAGACGCCAAGATGGAGGGAGGGAGGGAGGGAGAGGCAGGAGCACGACAGAGTCAAAAGGCGGGGATCGGCTTGGGCCGCGGTGGGCCGCCTGCTGCTTGCTTGCTTGCTTGGTCGTTTTTGGTGCTCCGACGGCATTAAAGCGGAGCGGGGGGCCCGTCGCTGCCCTGCCCTGCCCTACTGCTCTGTCCTCGTTGCCAGACGGCGGAGACGCCTGGCGGGCGAGGGGGCACATTCCCCAGATGCCGAGCGGTCGGTCCTTCCGGGGCCTCAATCTTGCTTCTCTCGAGCGCGAGGCAGGGCGGGCACGCCACGACACCAGCCTGCTACATACTAGGCCGGCTTGCAAAGCTCGCAAGCCAACGACAGCAGCGTAACCATGTATGGATGTGCAAGCCAGGATCGTCTGGTGCGCTCGGGATTCGATCCTGGCAATGCAAGCTGTCGTCTCGTGGATCCGACGACGAAGCAGGCTAGGGTGCCGCCTTTAGCTCGCCAAGACGACGCACGCTCCTCTGCCAAACTACCCCTGCCTGGCTGCGCGCTGCTACGCTAGGCACGCGTATGTACGCACGCACGATTCATTTGACAGCTGCGCCCTGCGCGGCGCGGCGCGGCTCGACCGCAACCACCGTGACCGCAGCCCAGCCTGGGCCTAGCCAGGCCGGGCCCTGAGCGGTGCAGTGCGAGGCCTGGCGAGGCGAGCCAGGGACGATCCTCGAGTCTCGCTTGGTCGCATTCTTGACCCTTTGGGGCCAGGCCCGCGCGGCCAGGGATGCGGCCAGATCCGACGCGTACACTCGGCCCCCTTCACGCTGCAAAGGCACAATAGCGGTACGGATGTACGTATGAACCCACAAGCAAGCAGCCTGCGGCCAAACCATGGACGCACGTATGTACAATGTACGCACGTCGACCAAGGGAAGGAGGAGCCGAAAACCTGCGTCGAGAGAGGCCAAGCAAGCCCTAGCCTCGTACTGCCGTCAAAATGAAGCGGCGGGACCTGACCCACCTCGCCGACGTGGGCCGACGGTTGGGGCCAAGGCAAAGCCGGCCCTGTCCTCGTTCTCTCTCTCCCTAGCCGGTGCAGACGACGACGACGACGACGACGACGACGACGCGGACGACGGCACGATGTCAACACAGCATGCATGCACAGGCAGCCAGCCCATGCCTCCTGCCGGACTGCTTGCAAGCCCTGCTGACTGGCCCCGCTTGACTTGACCATGACGGCGGCGGCGGCTGGGAACGCCGTCATGGTGTGGTGTGGTGCGGTGCGGTGCGGCGCGGTGAGCGGTACTGTGCGACCCCTCCTCCCCCTGCAGCGCATCTACGGCTCTGTCCGACGCCGCCTCCTGGCCAGTAGTCGGCCCCCTGCCCACCCACTCTTGGCAGAGGCGTGAAACGAGGCCGGCTGACCCGCTACAGTAGGATGCTGATGGACGTTGGTTGTCGTCCGCCCTACCGGCTTGGCCTAACGACGGCCGCCCAACTCGCCGTCATCGCCGCCGTTGCTGTTGTCCCACACGCTTGTCGCCGACGCTGACCCTCGTCCCCCTCCTCTCCTCCCCTCTCCTTCTCGCCACCATCAGCCCTTCTCTCCGTCGCCCTTCACCCTCCCTCTCCCCCTCCATCTTCCGGCTCCCTGCACCCTCTCCACTGCTTCCCCTCGTCGGTCACCACCTCCCCTCCTCACACTCGTTACCTCTCCCCTCGCTCAAAGACGACCTAGACGAGCCAACACCACCGCCGCCCCCCATCGGATCGCCACCCCCACCCTCCTTGGACACAGCTAGACCGACCACACTCGCTCGCCACTTCCGCGCCCCTCCTCCTCTTCCCTACCGACACACAGGCACTCTAGAAATCTCTGTACGGCTGATCCCCCCGCTTCACTGCACGCCATGTTCTCGTCGTCGTTCCGCTCCTTTGTCGCCGCCGCCATCGCCCTCGGTGCGGCGGCCAGCGTGCAGTATGCCTCGGCCGGAAAGGCCGGCACCATGGAGATCGTCGGAAACTCGGGCGTCTCGGCCCAGATGGTGAGTGCCGCCTGCCTCGGACCCTCGTCTCGACCCAAGACGGATGTCTGCGGCAGCATCGCCGTAGGAGCAAAAAAGCTGACCACGGTCGCCCACGTTGCCGCCCCTTCCACGGCCCCCCACATCGCCCCCACACGACGCCCGCAGATGTTCCTCGGCACCGACCAGAAGGTCTACATCCTCGACAAGGTGGAAAAGAACCCGGTCAGCATCAACGGCCACCCGGCATGGGCCGTCGAGTATGACATCAACAGCAACCAGTTCCGCACCATGGACGTGCGCTCCAACACCTTCTGCGCCGGCGGCGCCACGCTGGGCGACGGCCGCATGTTTGTCACGGGCGGCAACAAGGCCGTCACCACCAACGGCGCCACGGCCAAGCAGGGCCAGGGCTACGGCTCCTACAACGGCGGCAAGGCGCTCCGCTTCCTCTCGCCCTGCAACGACCGCAGCTGCCAGTGGCAGGACGACGCGGGCAACCAGCTCGTCAAGGAGCGCTGGTACCCGACCGTCGAGCCGCTCAAGGACGGCGCCGTCATGATCCTTGGCGGCATGCGCGACGGCGGCTTTGTCCCCTCCAAGGGCAGCAACGAGCCCACCTACGAGTTCTACCCGCCCAAGGGCGACGGCCAGGCGCGCTACATGGGCATCCTCGACCGCACCGTGCCCATGTCCCTCTACCCCATCACCTACCTCATGTCGAGCGGCGAGGTCTTTGTCCAGGCCGGCCGCTCGGCCGTGCTGTGGAACTACCAGAGCCAGAGCGAGAAGCGCCTCGCCAGCATCCCCGGCGGCCCGCGCGTCTACCCGGCCAGCGCCGGCACCGCGCTGCTGCCGCTGCGCCCGAGCAACGGCTACAAGGAGACGGTCCTCTTCTGCGGCGGCATGTCGCTCGGCAAGAATGTCAACTGGGGCAACGAGGGCGGGCCCGCCGTCATGGTGTCGCAGAGGCCCGCGTCGACGTCGTGCGAGCAGCTCAGCCCGCTCGAGGGCGGCGACTGGGAGGCCGTCGACGACCTGCCCGAGGGCCGCTCCATGGGCCAGTTTATCCAGCTGCCCGACGGCACCCTCTGGTTCGGCAACGGCGTCAAGACGGGCGTCGCCGGCTACACGGACAACAAGTACCAGGTCGGCAAGCCCGTCGGCCACTCTTTCGGCGACAACCCGTCGTACCGGCCGATGCTCTACAATCCGCGCGCGCCCAAGGGCAGCCGGTGGCGCCAGGTGGGCAAGGCCAACGTCGGCCGCCTGTACCACTCGTCGGCAACGCTGCTGCCCGACTCGTCGATCCTCGTCGCCGGCTCCAACCCCAACCCGGACTACACGACGGGCGAAAAGTGGTCGACCGAGTACCGCGTCGAGCGGTGGTACCCAGAGTTCTACGACCGACCGCGCCCCTCGTCGCGCGGCCTGCCGCAGTCGTTCAGCTACGGCGGCGATGGCTTCACTCTCGACCTCGGCTCGGCCGACGCCGCTGCCAAGGCCAAGGTGGTGCTGGTCCGCACCGGCTTCTCGACGCACGCCATGAACATGGGCCAGCGCATGATTGAGCTCAAGTCGGTGGCCCAGGGCACCAAGCTGCACGTGGCGCAGCTGCCTCCCAACCCCAACCTCTTTGCACCCGGCTCGGCGCTAGCCTTTGTCGTCGTCGACGGCGTGCCGTCGCAGGGCAAGGTCGTCATGGCCGGCAACGGCCGCATCGGAAAGCAGCCCGTCGGCGCCGAGAGCCCGCTGCCCAGCGCCGCCAAGCGCGACTTGTTCGAGGATGCAGACGACGAAGAGGCCGAGGTCAGGGTGGGGAGCAGCGAGCACGTCGTCGAGGCGCGTGACATGGCCATGCACCGCCGCGGGTCGGCCCACTCGCGCATCAACAAGGCTGTCGCCTGATGACGCTCGTTGGATTGCCCGCTCGCGGCTCAGCCTGCCCTCCCGCTCGTCGCCTTCCTTCTTCGTTCTTTGTGGTATACCTCTTGGATCCAGTCCTGCGGCTCCCTCTTCTCGTCGTGCCGTCCTGCTGGCACCTTTTCTCTGGCGTGCCATTCCGTCCCCCGGCGTATGGCAGCTCGGGCCCATCCTCTTGGCCCTTGAGCGTGCTCGCCCCTATCGTATCTCCTCGCCTCGCCTCGCCTCGCCTCGCCTCGCCTTGCCTCGCCTCTCCCTGCCCTGTCCCCTCGTGGCCTTCCGCTACCTCCGCCCCCGTCGTGACTTCACGCTCTGCCACGTGCCGTTGGAGGGCTTTGGTCTCTGAATCATGGACCTTTTCCCATCGTCGCTGTGGCTCCGCAGCGTCTGTGTGCCTGTATGCGACCGTCGGGCGTGGGGTGGATTGGCGTCTGTCGGATGGGTGCTGTGCTGCGTTCATGGTGCATCGATTGAGCGGAAGAGAAACAGGGGAGGGAAAAGATGGGCATGCTCGATGCTGCCGGGTGTGGAAGCCTCTCCTCTGCCTTTCGATCCGGTCCGGGGCTGGACGGCGGGTGTGATGGAGCGAGGGTCGACGACGAGCGCTCGATGCTCGACCTCGTGCTCTCCGCGTCTCTGCCGGTGCGGGCTGCGGGCTGCGGCAAGGCGACGTGACCCTCTACGCATCCGCCATGACGACATCCCCATCCCCACGGGCGGCACCGGCGCCGGCGCCGACGGGTTTGCGTGAGGATCTCGCCTTGCGCTTTGCCTCCTTTCTCGCCTCCTTTCGGATCTCGACGCCCTTTTTGAGCGCCCGCTGCCTCTTCCTCCTTCCGGCGCCCCTCTTGGAGCCGACGTGGTTGGTGACGAGCCTCTCTTTGCCCGTCTGTGCGTCGGGGGCGGTGACGCGTTTGCGCGCGGCGTCGCGAACCTTTTCCGCCCTCCTCTCCTTTGCCTTGTCCCTCTTTTTCAGCGAGGCCGACAGCGAGGAGCGCAGAGAGGAGAGGTAGGATGCCTGGAAGCTCGGCAGGTCTGCTGCGGAAACGAGCGTGCGGAACTTGATGCGCGACGTGCCGCTCGCCCCGTTCGTCGCCTTGAACAGCAGAGGCAGCGAGAAGCCGTGCTGCGCACCACCGCTGCTGTCCGATTGAGATGCGGTGGGGCTGGAGGACGACAACGCCTTTGGCGGTGCCCGCTTCGATGTTACGTAGATCGAGTGCTTTTCGCTCGAACTCGTGAAGAGCGCCTCGAGCTTCTGGATGAACTGTGCAGGCGAGAGGGCGAGAGGGGTTGGGCGTGAAGACAGTCCTCGATGTCAGAGATGCTGCCATCGTTATCCTGGCAAGGCAGACAGGGATGTACGAGCACGGCATCGCGCGCAGAACTCGACTCACCTCGCTATTCGAGACGAGCATGCTGGGCGAGGGCGGGTAGGGTAGGGTAGGGTAGGGTCGGCTCGGGCGTTGGCCTGGTGACGTGACGTGAGGCCGTGGTGTGCGTGTACCTTCGTTGAGATGTCGCGGTATATCCTGCGCGGGCGAGCGAGTCGAATGCAGGGGCGGTGAAAGGAGCTGGTGGCGTGCGGTGACGGCGGACGAGGCTGATGGCGGTGCGTGGGTGGTGGGTGACGGTCGAAGTGACGGGAACTCGCCGGCCGGTCGTGCGGGCTGGCTGGCTGGCCCAACCCCCCCGGGCGAGGAAAATTCGGCTCCGACGCGGGCCTGAGGTCAAAGGTGCCGAGCGAGGCGAGGGAAAGATGCAGATGCTGCTTGCGCTCGCCCGCCACCCCTCCTTCGTCCACCACCTCGACGCACATCCTCACTCCACCTCCGTCGATCCCGCTACCCGCCAGCTCATTCCGCGTCGTCACCAGGTCCCCTGCACGGCTATAGTCCAAGATGGTGAGTGTCGCTCCGCCCGTCTGCCAAGAGCGCTGTCGCTATCGTTGTCGCTGTCGCTGTCGCTGCTACTGCTGCTGACCACGCATCCTCACCTTACCTTGGGCTCCTCACCCTCCTCCTCTGGACACCACCGGACACCGTACAACAGCCTCTGCTACCGCCCCTCGTCCCGCTCCTACGCACTCTCACATCCCGCTCCCCGCTCCCGCTTCCCCTCTCCCTCTCCCCGTCCACATTCCACCGCGCATTCAGCACCACGCCTTCTCTCGCCGTGACGCTGCAGCAGGCGCTGCGCGGCGCGCGGAAACCGCACCGCCCGCCCGTCAACAAGGTGCCGGCGCTCGAGGGCAAGCCGTTCGTCAAGGGCGTCTGCTCCAAGATCTTCACCACCAAGCCAAAGAAGCCCAACTCGGCCATCCGCAAAGTCGCCCGCGTCAAGCTCTCCAACGGCCGCAGCATCATCGCCTACATCCCCGGCGAGGGCCATAACCTCCAGGAACACTCGGTTGTACTCGTCAGGGGCGGAAGGGTGCAGGATACCCCCGGTGTCAGGTGCGTCTGCCTTGGCCGTGGAGAGGCGCTCGAGCCGAGAAAGTGCCGTCTGATGTCCCCGTCATTCCGTCTATCCCTCTCCGTCTATCCCTCCCCTTTGCCCTTCGCCCATTCCGCCCTCGCTCGCCCCCTACCGGACTGCATTGCAGGTACCACCTCGTCCGAGGCGCCCAGGACTTTAGCGGAGTGGCAAACAGGACAACCGCCCGGTCAAAGTACGGCGCCAAGAAGCCAAAGGCCGGTCCGTGAGCCTCAAATCCGTCCTGCCACCTTCAGACCTCCAGCAGATCGCTTCGCGGCGTCCACGAGCCTCGCGCCGCGCCGCGCCGCGCCGCATCGCACCCTTGTACCACTAGCCCTCGACGCCTCTTTCCCCTGCCTGTCCTCATGGGCTCCTCCTTCGACCTTGACCCCTCGTCGTCCGCCGCTCGCGACCTCGACCGCCCGACCCGACGAGGGGCTCCATAAACGAATGAGATAGATTGTCCGCACATCATTGTACTCTGACTGTCCTGTCCTGCCCTTTGGTGTGCGCATCGAGGCTCGACCAAGGCGACAAAGAGACCAGGCGGACTGGCGAGCGTGCAACTGAAGGAATGGGAACCCGCGTCGATCGAATGATAGGTAGTCAGTGCTGTGCCGTGTGCCGTGCCGTGCCAGGCTAGGCCGGAGTGCCTGGCGGGCGGGTATGGTGCCGTCGTCGAGTCCAAGACCATCGAAAGCTCTTCCCCGCCTCCTCGCTCGTCACCTCCTCTTCTGCCGTCTCGCCATCCAAGCATTCGCCACATAGAACCCCGCCACCTCGCATGACCGACCGTCCGACCGAGGTCAGAAGTCGACCTTGCCCGTACTCTTCATCCGCTCCTCTCGCTCGCGGTCGTCGCGCACAATCTGCTCGATGGCGTGGGCGATGCAGCGCACCCACTGGTCGCGCTCGAGCTTGTTGCGCGCCCGCAGCGCAATGTACCGGTGCGTCTTGTCCTCGAGCTTCGGAATCGACGCCTTGGCTGCGCCGCCCGCCGCCGCCGCAGTGTTGCTGCTCTGCCGGTCGGTGTCGGCAGGGTGCGGCGGCCCGGTCGGTGCGGCCGCTGTGGGAGCCGAGGCGCTTGCCGCTTGCGCGCCGCCCACCCCACCGGCGCCGCTGTGACCGACGACCTTTGCAAAGTCGGGCGCAGGAGGATCGACGGGCGTGTTGACGCGCTCGGGCCGATATCGGACGACGAGGGTGCAGTCCTCGTCCTCGTCGAAGCTGTAGAGGCCGTCGGCGTAGACGCGCGGGATGCGGTGGCGGTTGCCCGAGTTGGATCCGCCGCCGCCGACGCCGCCAATGGCCTGGGCCGGCTCGCTGCGGCCGTTGGAGAGCATGTCCTCGCTCAGCTTGCCGCTAAAGACGTAGGCGTCGCGCAGGTGGATGACGCGCTCCTGGCGCCGGTGGAAGATGCCCGCATTCTGCCTCGAGCGCGCCGTGCGCTGCGACTTGACCAGCTTGAAGCTCAGCAGCCGCCCGGCGATCAGCAGGTAGTACCGGCTCTGGAACGGCGCGTAGCTCGAGCGCTTGTGGAACAGGCGACCGCACTTGATGATGCCCCGGCAGCCCTCGATGGCGCACCAGTGCCAGATGTTGGACAGGATCGGCGCCAGCTTCTCCTCGGAGATGGCCACGCCCTGGTTGTCGACCAGCTCCCGCCCCTGCAGCTTGCGGTTGATGGCGCCCATGTCAAAGCCGCTGGCGCTCATCACATCGAGCGCGTCCGCCTTCTCCCGGCGCCGCCAGTACTTGACCAGCTCGGCGATCCGCTCGATCCACTCGCGCGCCACCGACTTGGAGTAGGCCTCGATCCGGATCGTCCGCCCGTTGGCCAGCACAATCTCAATCTGCCGCGACTGGCGCAGCTGCGTCCGGTCCGCCGCCGCGGCGATCCCCTCCTCGCCTCCGATGTCGTCGTCGTCGTCGCCGTCACCCGCGTCGCCGTCCTCGCGGTCCGACTCCTCGTTCTCGCGCGGCGCCGCCTCGCGATCGGCCTGCACCCTGCGCAGCGCTGCGGCGCCGCCCCTGGGGCCCGACGGCTTGGTGTCATCGTCGCCCGGACAGCGGACGGGGCCCTTGCCGACGGCGCGGATCATCCAGATGGACCGCAGGTCGACGTAGCCGTCCGAGTTGCAGATCTGCTCGAACTGCCTCCGCTTCTCAAACGCCCGGTAGGCCTCGATCTGCGCCTGCAGCTCCTCGACCGACTCGGCCGGCCAGCTGAGGGCGTCGACCACCTGCTGACGCAGCGCCGCTATGCTCTCCTCCCTCCGAACCGCCTTCTCGCGTCCGAGGAATCGGGCCAGAGCCCTGTAAGCCGCGCTCTTGTGAGTCGTCGGGGCTGCCGTCGTCTGCGATCGGCGGGGTTGCGCTCTTGCTGCTGCTGCCGCCGCCGCCGCCGTCGCAGAGGTCCGGTTCGCCATCCGGTCGAGGTTGTGCTGCAGCTGGCTGTAGAGGAGGCGATCAGGAGGGCACGCGCGGCTGGGCTTGCAGATAAACATGTGGCCGTCGTGAGTGGTGATGTAGAGCCGGGTGAGGTAGCTCGACACCGGCTTGACGCGCCAGACAAAGCCCTCGACGGCCGGCGGCTCGTCCATGATCTTGCCCGTGGCCAGCCGCACGTTGGTCGGATAGTGGCTGCCCGCGCGCAGCTCGAGGATGGACGGGGTGCGGTACTCTTTGAGGATCGAGCCGGCCAAAATCGCCCAGGGCCGATCCTGCCCATCGACGGTCGTCTCGTGGATGATCCAGTCGAGCACGTTGCCCCTCCTCCAGGCCAGCTCGAGCCGCATGCCGTGGCGCTCGCCGTAGTCGAGCATCTCTTTCCAATCCGGAAGCGAGTCGGCCAGCCTCCGCAGCATCGAGACGACGCTCTGCCGGTCGACGGCCTTGAAACCCTCCTCGCCAATCTGCAGAGGGTGGCGCGACTTTGCCGCCGCCCCAACCTTGCCGCGGGACGACTCGAGGGCGAGAGCCTCTCGGCGTGTCAGGTGCTCGGCGGTCACCTCCTCAGGTATGGCGATCCGCACCTTTGCGCCCATCGAGGCCAGGTTCACGTCGATCGACGTGGGGATGGTGCCGCCGAGCTCGCGCCACAGCTCCCACATCCAGTCGAGCGCCACCGTCTGGGCGCGGCAGTCGAACAGCGCGATGTCGGTGCCGTGCCGGCGGAGGTGGAGGCGGTTGCGGTGCTGGTGGGACAGCGAGGCCTTCCACGGCTGGTGGGTGAGGCAGAAGATGCGGTCGATGGGCGAGTAGACCGACATGAAGGTGGTGCCGCGCGACAGCGAGATAGTGTGGCGCAGCTTGAGCCGGTCGCCGTGTCCCACGGCCTTGCCGGCCAAGGTGGCATCGCCCCACAGCTCGAGCTTACCCATGCGGAAGACGACGACGTACTCGCGCCACTCCTCGTCGCGGACGGCGTACTTGCGCGCGGCCATCTCGTCGAAGTCCTTGGGCAGGTCCTCGTGGGCGGTCCAGGCGAGCTTGACGAGCATGCGGTCCTTTTTGAGGACACTCTTGCGCGTGATGACCTCGTCGGACGAGTCAGTCGGCAGCGTGAAGTCGACCTTTGCTGGACGGCCGCCCAGCTGCAGCTCGCTCGATGGCGACGGCGTCGTCGGCGGGTTGGGCCGCGCCAGGACCTCTTCGGGGGGCACGGGCACCGCGTCGCCCGATCCGA